CCAGTTTTGCAATATTTCAACAAAGATTTGCCAATTGTTATCTCTTGTGATGCTTCCCAAAGCGGTTGTGGTGCAGTTCTGCTTCAAAATAATGCACCTGTTGCATATGCTTCTAAAGCTTTCACAAATACACAAACAGGCTATGCTCAAATTGAAAAAGAAATGCTTGCCATAACTTTTGCATGTAAAAAATTTCATCAGTATATATTTGCACATAATAGGGTAACAGTAGAGACTGATCATAAGCCTCTAGTAGCTATTTTTAAAAAACCATTAGTTCAAACACCATCAAGATTACAAAGAATGCTATTAATGATTCAGTGCTACAATTTTGAATTGACTTACAAAAAAGGAAAAGATCTGGTTTTAGCAGATGCAATGTCCAGGGCTTATTTGAACACATTCGATGAATGCTTTGAAAATGAATGTAAAGAAATCGACTCTCAGCTGTTTATGGTAGTAAAAAATTTACCTATATCAGATTATAAATTAAGAGTTTATCAAAAAGAAGTTGCAAATGATCCACATTTAACAAATCTCATACAAATTATCATTGAAGGTTTTCCTCACAACAAAGAAAAACTATCGGATGAATTCAAAGTATACTGGTCTTTTAGAGATGAGCTAACATACTTTCAGGGATTAATATACAAAAATGACAGACTTCTAATACCAAAGAGCATGAGAAAAGATGTATTAAAACATATCCATCTATGTCATCTAGGCAAAGAAAAAACGAAACTTGCAGCTAAAGAAATAGTCTTCTGGCCAAACATGTCAAATGATATTGAAAATTTAATTAGTAATTGTGATACTTGTAACTCATTTAAAAATGATAATAACAAAGAACCTTTAGCCCCACACTCAATTGAATACTTACCTTGGACTAAAGTTGGTGTCGATCTATTTCATTTTGAACAACATTCATATCTTTTAGTAATAGACTACTTTTCAAAATTTGTAGAAATTTCATTGCTCCTCTCGACCACTAGTAAGTCTGTAATTAACCATCTCAAACAAATTTTCAGTAGACAGGGAATTCCAAAAATACTTATTAGTGACAATGGTCCACAATTTGATTCAGAGGATTTCAAAGATTTTACAAAGAAATGGAATTTTCAGCACATAACTTCAAGTCCCAGATATCCACAATCAAATGGACAAGTAGAACGTACTGTACAAACTATAAAAAATATACTATACAAATCCAGTAAAGATAAAACTGATCCATATTTGTGCATGTTAGAATTCAGAAACACACCAATTTCGAATAACATTCCGTCTCCAGCACAACTATTAAATAGCAGGAAATTAAGAAGTATAATCCCTGTGAGAGAATCAATATTAAAACCAAAATTAGTTCAAGGTAAATATATTCGAGAACAATTTCTCCATAAACAAAATCTTGAGAAAAAATACTATGACAAAGGTGCAAGAGAACTATGTGAATTAAAAAAGGGAGATAAAGTAAAAGTTAAAAATTTTGAAGGAAAAGAATGGTTAGATGGAACAATAATAGATGTACTTGAGACGCCCAGATCATACCTAGTAAAGATTTTTAAAAATAACACTATAGTCAGAAGAAATAGAAAACATCTTAGAAAAGTAAATGAAATCAATACAGATATTGGAAATAGCCTAGATGACATAAACATACATTATCCATATAATATTGACAATCACCTTGAAATTGAAGAGCCACACAATGTTATTGTAACTGGTGATAATGTGATAAATAATGATAATGAGAACCATCCAATAATAACCAGGTCTGGGAGAATTGTAAATACTCCAAATAGGCTGAATTTATAAATATTTAGATACTAAACAATCTGTAAAGTGTATGTATATTTGATCATTCATCTTGCATATCCTATGTGTGAAATTTAAATCAATTTATAATTATTAATGTTGTTTGTATATTATAATTGTTAATTTGTTTATTTACATTATTAGGAGTGAGATGTCAGAATGTCATGTGTTTGTATATTATAATTGTTAATTTGTTTATTTACATTATTAGGAGGGAGATGTCAGAATGTCATGTGTCATGTCATTTGTATTTTATTTATATTCCATGTCAGATGTCTTAGTAAAAGATTGAATGTAATAAGACATATCACTGACAGACTCACTTTTCAATAGACCTCCAATCTAGTAACATGAGTGTTATTTAAAACTCCATTGTCAACCTATATCAAATACATCCCTTATTATCAAGTGAATCTTTTAGTATAAAAGATTAAATACACAGAAACAAACAATTATTAGCACAATGAGAAAGTATGATATATTATGTGATTTTGTTTTTGTATTAGTTTTGCCTCGAATATTTTGCTGAAGTATTTACCAATTTCCTCTTTTAACGCCTATGAATGTGACGTGACAGCAATGTCATATCAGGGACGTCAATGACGCCAAAACACGAAACCAAAGTCACTAGATGATTAGAACAGGAAAGGAGCTATGATGATCTGTCCGTACCCTGTTAGATGACAAATACGTCAGTTTGCATCAAGGGACCCTAGGTTAATCGAGGAGGTGGTACATTCATTATTCCAGATTTTTGGGATTTTCTCTCCTCGTTTCGATAAAATAAAAATATGAATCTTATTTCAATATACGTGTATATTCAAATGAAGCCCTCATTGATAAAAAGTCCATAATTTCCAATTCAACGGAGAAACAATGAGCTGTTATTGTTGAATTGATTGGACTTTGAAGTTTGAGTCATCTATTTTATCTTATTGATAGTATGATAGTATTGTTCGATCTCGACTTTAATGACCTACGTTTTTTATAGGTGCTTTAATGTGCTGTATATTATCATTTCAAATTTTAATACTCAAATAAATATGAAGTTTTTCATCAAATGTGTAAATCATGAATTTTGAAGTGTTACTTCCTCAATTTAGTACTATATACTTGAATCTATTACAATTTCGGAATGATATCTAGTACAAATTGAAATTCTGAAACGGCAACACTGGGACGAGAGTGTGAAGACCGAGGAAGACCGAGGCACAGCGAGGTGAAGAATAAAAAAGAGAGCAGAAGGTATCAAGACTTGAAGTGGAACATTGAACATTCTCATTTTTTTCTGTTTTCTCAATCCTCTCCTGATATCCTGGAATTCCTGGATTGTGCTCAAAACAATAAATTTTACAACTGATATCATGTGTTGTGTTAATGCGGTTGATGATTGTAATGGTAAGTGATTTTGTGTTTTCCTAATGATTTGTCGTATTGTCTGGAAAGATATTTTCATAGCCTGCATGTTTTAATGTTGTAGGTCATTTCAAGTGATTTCTTATTTTGGTGGGTTGGGGTATCGAATATCGGAGTGTACAGGTTGTCCGGAATTGGATTTGATAGTGTGAAACTGTGGAACCCCAGACACAATTTCAGGTCCTGATTACTGAGTGGTACTGATTGTGGCTCTGATTGTTTGATTTGTGATGTTGTCACTGGCCCATAATATGCTGTCTATTGTTTATTATTATGAATGATGACATTGAAATTCGCTTGTATTTCGTTTTTTGAACAGACAATGCTTGAAACTTAGCATAGGCTATCACAATAACAAAAAAACAAGGCCTGCTGCAGGCAGAGAAAAAAATAACTGAAGGGGGGAATTGAATGAGCTACTTCAATTGTTTCAAGTACTAATGGCATTTTACATGCATCTTATGAGGAAATCACAATCATATCCCAGATAGCACAATGTCATTCATAGAACGTTCATAGAATATTCTTCGAGAATATTGGAATATTCTCACAGATACGAATATTCTAAGGATGTTTTATGAACATTTGGAATGGACTGTTTTAAATATTCAGAGAATATTCCTAGTATATTGAAGGAGAATGAAGAAAATTGAAAAAAGATTGTGATGATGTGAACCTACAATCTTGTGACTGAATTTTTATGAACCTGAAACCTTAACCACTTCGCCAAGAACCTTATTGATAAATAAAATAAATAGCAAGATGACAACACTGAATTGGCGGGATAATCAGCATTGTGGCTAGGCTAGAGAATAATAGGTTATGTCAGGGTAAACCTTGGAGTAAACATTATAAATATTGATCTCGATATTAATAGAAGAATAGGACTATCAATATCATTTATTTTTATACGAACACAAAGAATATTCTCACAACATTCAAAAAGAATATTCTGAGAATATGTCAAATTCAATGTTCATAGAATATTCGCTGCAGGATGAGAATATTCTATGATCATTCTGAGAACATTCTATAAGAATAATCTAAAATAAGTATATTTGAACGTTGTGAGAATATTCATAGAATATTCTATGCTGTCTGGTATCTGAAGATAATTGCTTTTCTAAATCAAGAATAGTAGCAAATTAAAGCAATTATGTTTTTTACATGTAGGTAGGTAAGTAGTTGTTGAACATAATTAAATAATATACTAAGTACCCTCGTAAGTACCTATACCCTATACCTATCTCTGATTCTTTTTTTTTTTTCAATAGGTATGGGTACAATAATTAATAGGTACAATATCAGCTACCCAGCAGGAAGCACAGATTTCTGAAACTTAGAACCTACTGTCATCTACAGGGTGGTTTCTAAAGGCATGTGAAAAAATTCGGAGGGTGATTTATTATAATAATTTTCAATGAAAAAAATGCCTATGATCATATAGGTGAATCCAAGGGTGAATTAGATTTATTTGGAACAAAGTTTGGTTCTATTTTACAATAATTGATCCTATAATTACTTGGGCATAACCACAGGCAGGTCAGTAGTGCTTTTGCTGTGATGAGAAATATTCATTTGGGACTTTATCTTACTCAGTAATTATAGAAACATGTACAATAATAATTATTGAATTTTTAGAGTGTTGAATGTTTTACAATTATAAAAAAATACTTCAATAAAGTAATATTTCTAATTTCAGGATAAAAAATCTACGCCTCAAATACCATAGAAAGATGCAATACATTCTGCAGAAGAGGTGAAGATTGGTGATGCTGATGCCACCCTGGTGTCCCATCACCCCATACAAGGGGATATTCATTCTTGTTCTGGCTTTTGTTTTTCTGGAATATTTATTCAACACCTTCTCAGACCCAAAAGATGCTTTGTTCTTCAATACTACTAGGTTAGATGAGTTTGATTTGAATTAATTTTCATGAATGTGGAGGAAACAGAACTAATTATAATAATTCATGAAACAGTCTGATTATAGGTCATTTATAGGTACTGATATGATGATCTATACCTACTTAGATTCTGTTTCCTACGGCCACAGCCGACTTCAATTACGGCTGTGCTACAGCATAATTAGAAAAATGGGTTTCTTGAAAACCAAATTCATATACACAGTTGTTTTGTTGATCAAGACATTATTATTCTAATCAAGTGTGGTATTGTAGTATTTTTGAGACATGGCGTTTCACAGCTTTTTGGTAAACACATACAGAGTGGGCCTTTGAAAATGAAACAGAGGCTCTGTAGGTCGCCAAAACCGAATTATGAAGAAAATCTGAAACACATCAACTACATTTTCGAGGGGGACATCGTTCTAAAATATTTTCAGCCCTGCGGCGTTGCCGCTTCTAACGAAGAGAAGCAACAACTTTGTTATTTCAAATGGAACACCTTGTATTTTATTGCATTGTCAGATTCCCCCCGAAGAGCTGATTTCATCAATGCATCACACTTGGGGTCTAGCTGTAATGGTTTCAGGGATATAAAGTGTTCAAAATCCGTGATTTTTCAACTTAAGCATTTTCTTGTGTCGAAACTATTCATTATTGGTCAAAACTGCTTTTATGTCCCTATCTCAACTTGTGATTGACTATCTACTGACATTTATTTGAAACAAATACAGGGTGGTTCAAGATTTAGAATTCTGATCACCCTGTATCTGTTGAAAATGTAGTTGGCGTGTTATTAGAATCCGGCTTTTGGTATGTAGGAATGCTCTGGCCAGTCCATCCATATCTATCAGGAAATTGCTCCAGAGCTTGTATAACAATCAGAGAGCATTATGTTATTATAGCTATACACCTCGGTAAAAATATCAGTTTTCGATATAACCAAAGTAGCATTTCATGCACTAGATACAAAAATAACTAATTTGTAACAGAACAACATCAAAACACCATCTTGATAATCATAATTTCGAATATTTGGCTCAATTTTTCCATCACACAACCTGAAAACAAATGTTTTGTTCTGAAAGTTTGAGGAATTTGAAAATCGCCCAAATTTTCTATTCTTAAGATGCAACTGTTGAGTAGTTTAGTCTCATCCTAGATCATTAAAACAAACCAAGGCTAGATGAAGTACTATATAGTTATGTACCTGATTCCTAATAGTTTTGGAACCAAATATCTCAAAAGTGTCTAAATAACAATTAACACAATATTTATTGCAACTTTGCTATCACTACTTTTTTTTTTCATTTTCAGAATTCCAAAACATGGAAGAGAGTCTCGGCTAAATGGCCCTCTTGCCAAAACACTCTTATTCAAAAATAAGACAAATAATTACACAATAGGCAACAATTCCATCGTCACAGCAACGAAAAATTATTCATATATGAGTTATATAGTAACGGAACCTCCATTTTTGAAAAGATATGTAAACAATTCTTCCATCTCATCAACAGTTCTTGATAGTGTGTTCACCATAGAATCAGAAAACTCTTCAAATTCGAAACCTGTGAATAGTACTGCTCTACCTCTTTGTCCAGATGATGTTTCTTCCAATTTAAGTGAGTATTAGTTATCTTGTAATAATATTTATTCATGTGGTGAGTTTAGGTTAGATCATAAAATCATCCTTTTTTTCAATGCAGACTCCCTATAAAATGAGTTTTCCACAATATTTTGGCATACGATTCGTGTTTTTTGCGCTATTCATTAATTCAAGCATGCCTTCTCATTGTACTGTTGTACAATACACAAAAACGCATTCATTGTTGGAGCCCGGCGTTCTCGTCTACGTATATTGATATGTCAAGATGCAACTAAACATGTCCCAACAGGATTCAGCGATTGTTCTAAAATTGTTCTTATCCATCATTCGGATTGCCCCCTTACGAGCAACCCTCAGAAGTCTTCAAGGGACTTGTACGAGCAAGGAATGACGGGTTTCTTACCTTTTAACGTGTGATCCCAAACACTTTCTTAGGCCATCAGAAAAATTTCTGCGGTCGTAGTGGGACTCGAACTCACTACCGGTAATCCAACGAGGATAAAACATTGACGCTCTAACCACGAGGCTACGCTGGCCAACGGATGCGTTTTTCATTTAATTCAATATTTCAGTATCGAAGTAGTAGCTGCATCAGTTGGTTGGTTTTTATTTATTTCAAGTGAATTTGAACCACGATGGCTCGAAAATATCTCAATGACGATCAAATTGAAGAGCTGTTGTATGTTAAGAGAAACTTAATTCTGCTCTGCGCCTTCTGATGTTCCACTGTGTATTATAACATGTTTTGAACGGTATCACACTGTCAAAAATTATTCATCCATTTCATATATGGAAATATATCTATAATGATATAAGGAATCGCATTATAACATTTCATTTTGGATAAAGACTAATAAAATAGAACTTATTTTGGGTTGAAATATGTAAAAAAATCGGATTCACAAGTTATCCTGTGGTTGCGGGAGACGGCCATTCCCGCAACTCTAAATTTCCCCCGTTTTGAGAGCACGACTAACAAAATTTTACCCGCAATAAAAGGGTTAAAGAAGAGTGGATGAATGTATTGATTCGGTCTCTTCCAGGGGGCAGGCTGCCCATAGTGCGGAGCCCCGTGCCCTCGGTCGAGCAGCTGGAGGGGCGCTTTGCATGGCTGCGGCCGGGCGGGCACTGGCTGCCCGGACACTGCCGCGTACTGAAGCGGGTCGCCGTGGTGATCCCGTACCGTTGTCGCGGGGAGCACTTGCTGGTCTTCCTGCAGCACATGCACCCGTTCCTGCGCAGGCAGCAGCTGGACTACACGGTGTTCGTGGTGGAGCAGGTATGGACCAAGGATTATACAACTACAGAACGATAGCTCATTGGTAAACACACTGAAATCACCTTGTGTGACCTATCCAAGGCCTTCGACTGTGTATCGCATCTAAAATTACTGGATAAATTAAACTTCTATGGTGTGCGGGGAGTACCTCTGAAACTGCTGAAATCCTATCTCGATAACAGAATTCAGTGTGTTGCCATCGAAAACAATTTCTCTAAATTCCAGTACATTAACCACGGAGTCCCGCAGGGAAGTGTGCTGGGACCACTATTATTTATTATTTATCTCAACGACATTTTTCACTACTTGTCCCCTTCTGGGTGTATTTGCTTCGCTGATGACACGACATTGATTGAAACTCATTCTAACCCTATCACACTAAACAATCTTACCGAGCAAGCAAAAAACAAAGCTTATACCTGGTTCAGTACTAATAATCTCAAACTAAATCAAGAAAAAACCCAAAATAATGTTTTCTCTTCAAACATCAACTTAACCTCAAACAATACAGTCAACCTTCTAGGTATCATATTAGACGACAGGCTAAACTGGTCTGCCCACATTGACCAACTGTGTAGTAAACTCTCCACCCAAATATTTCTGCTGAGACAATTGAAAAAAATCTTGAGCATTCCAATATTATTATCTTGTTACCATTCTCTCTTTCACTCGCACCTCAACTATGGTACTATTCTCTGGGGTAACGCAACACCCGCCATTAGAGTTTTTAGGCTTCAAAAAAAGGCGCTAAGAATCATCGAAGGTGCAACATACCATGCGCACTGTCAGCCAATATTCAAAAAATATAAAATCTTGCGAATACCTTGTGTTTTTATATACCAAACTTTCCTGGAAACATTTTCCAATATAGCGCTGTTCTCGAAAAACGCTGTTGTCCATAACCATGCCACGAGATCATCAAGTAAACTCAGAACTCCTAAATTCAGACTATCTGTCACTGAGCGAAATTCTCTAAATGTCAGATTTTTTAATGCCTCACCACCAGCTGTAAAATCTTTGAATTTCATCCAATTCAAGAAATGGGTGAAAAATCATTTACTATCACGCTTTCTATTCAATTGAGGAATTTCTTTCATTTAACCATGAATAACATGATGCTCACCCCAACTTCATAAACATATCTATAAAAATAAGTAGTTATAACTCAATCCTCTTCAGGGTATTGTTCTTGAGTATTTTGCGTATATGACGGTATATGTGAAACTTTTGAATCACGTACATACATGTATATATCACCATTACATCATTTTAATCTGTTTTGTTCTTCAATGTCTGTTTTCTTCAATGTCCGTTTTTAAATTGTAATTTCTTTACATGTATACTTGAGTGTTTTTACTATAATAATAAAATCTATTGTACCTTGACTTGCTACAAACATGTAATACATGTAAAGTGGTTAAATAAAACTATCTATCTATCATTCTATATCTTTTCAAGTTCAACTTGAGAATTTACATATCCATGTTGATTAACACAGTAAGAATAATAATGAACCAATTCAACCCAGACAACTTCAAATTGTGGAATGAATTGGCAATATTGTATTGCAAATTGCAATGATAATTCATTCTAATACCTAATATATGAATTGATATGCCTTTATTATGATAATAATGGTGATTGGAGGAGATATTCGGGTCGATTCTGTTTGGATATTATTGTAACATTGCTAAGATAATAATATTGTTATGATCATAATGTATAGCAATAATGCTAGGCTATTCTGTATTCTGTTTGGACAGAAACTGCAAGATTGGTTATTAGTTTAAGCGATAGCAATATTGTTGAAAATTGGAAAATTTTGAGCTGACAACACCGTTTCTAACTCATTCGTTAAGTAATAGGTACCGTTACCTCTTCCTACCTACCTGGTTCAAGAAATTCTGATCACCCTGTATCTGTTCCAATTAAATGTTAGTAAATAGTATATCACAAGTTGAGATAGGGACATGAAAGCCGTTTTGACCAATAATGAATAGTTTCGACACAAGAAAATGCCAAAGTTGAAAAATCTCGATTTTGAACACTATATCCCTGAAATCATTACAACTAGACCCCAAGTGTGATGCATTAATGAAATCAGCTCTTCGGGGAGAACCTAAAAATGCAATAAAATACAAGGTGTTCCATTTGAAATAACACCGCAGGGCTGGAAATGTTTTGGAACGATGTCCCCCTCAGAAATGTAGTTGACGTGTTTCAGATTTTTTTCATAATCCGGTTTTGGCGACCTACAGAGCCTCTGTTTTGTTTTCAAAGGCCCACTGTGTATGTAGCCAATGATCAGAGATTAACTCCTGATGCTCTGAAATTAATTGATATGGTTATGTGAATTATTTTTAAACGTATAAATATGTGTTTATTCAATGTTTATTGCAGTCGTTGGAAATTGAAATCACTTTCGAAATTTCGTGTTTGGGATCATTAACATCAGATTCGCTACCGAATAAATCAATTCCAAAGTGTATAGTTTCGATTTGAAATTGAGTAGTTTCAATTTGAATTTGTTAAGTTTGAATTTGGATTTGTTTATTCCGTGTCTAATATTTTGTCCCAATTTGAATTTGGTTATTCCCATTTCTAATGTGTTCAATCCATGCTGAATCATTTCTTCCCAATTTGAAAATGCTTATTCCAATTTTGAAAATGATTAGTCTCAATTGGAAGTTTAAAAGGTATAGAGTGAATAGATTAAATAGAGTGACGACAATAGACTTCCAAATGGCTGCCGTTTCCAGAATGTCACTCTTGGTCAAGTCACTGAATAGCTAAAAATCTGAAGGGTATCTCCCATGCAGTAATGAATTTGCGCCTTTGAAGTGCCCACCTGATGTTATGTTTAGATATTTCATATTTTCATTTCATCATCTAAATAATCTGAGACTGACGAGTCCCAAAAGAAGGATTCTAATAGTTGATATCCAAGGTACTGACGTATGGTTTCATGTCTGATTGTTGGATGTTTTGTGTCCAAAGAGCGCAAAACACAGACAAAGCATTTTGCAAACATGGGATCGAAAACTCATTGTCCTTTAGAACGATAATGGTGAGGACAAGTTCATCTTGTGTCATGTAATGATAGCATATTCAAGTTAGTTAATCATTTCAACTATAAGAAACAAACTAATGCAATTTAAAAAACTGAAGTTGGGGATTGTTTTCAGTAGATTGTTAGATTAGATTAGATTTGGAATGGGGCCTTCGGGCTATCTGCCTCCACACTGCGACCTTTTCAGATCTATTGTGTCTGCCCTCAAAATCGATTAGAGTTCTTCGGCTAGCCCCGCCTTCTGTATGAGACTCCATAGGCTAGCTTTCAGATCTCCTGTGTATCTCTGGGCTCCTGGTTTTTCCTCACCCAGCGTAAGGAACCTTAGTCTTGACAAGCCCTCACAGTGGCAAAGTATGTGTACTGTTGTTTCTTCCTCTTCTTGACAGAACCTGCACAGCAGTTCTTCAGTCAAACCTATCGTACTCATGTGTTTGTTGAGCCTACAATGCCCTGTGAGAAGTCCCACTAGTATTCAAGTTGAACTTCGTTTCTGGCTTAGTAGATATTCTGTGAATGTTGGCGATGGTTTTTTAATAAACTCTTTCATTCCTGGCGAGTTGTTCCACCATTCTTGAGATTTGGTTTGCATCCATGATTTGATACTAGTCTTTTGTATAGCTTTCGCAATACCACAGAAGGGTTCTGGGCCATTAAGAGCTTTGTTTGCTCCAGCTCGGGCAAGTGAGTCTGCCTCTTCATTGCCCTCGTACCCTGTATGTGCTGGTACCCATGCTAGAGTCAATCTGTTCTGACTGCCCAGTGCATTTAGGGTTTCTAAGCAGTAGATTGTTGATTTGGTTTCACTTTTTTGAAGAGATTTAAATCCCATATTTGCCACTGTTTTTTCAGATTTTTAGTACAAAATAACCCAGATATCTTTTAGCCAGAGGCTCTGGAACATCCTGTATATTTTTTCCATTCCCAATCAGGACGGAGACGGGCCCTTCAACAGGGCCATGCTGATGAACATCGGGTACACGGAGGCGCTGAACATGAGCCACTTCGATTGTTTCATCTTTCACGACATCGATCTTCTGCCGGAGGACGACAGGAATCTGTACACTTGTCCGGAGCAGCCGAGGCATATGAGCGTGGCTGTCGATATTTTCAAGTACAGGTGAGAAGCCCTTGTCATGTGATATTAATTTGGCAGAAAATGAATTATCGAAATATCGGAGACTTATGTTGGCTTCTATAACAAAATATCATAAGGCTTTGAGCAAAGCATACCTCATACCAGAACTGTGCATTATTTGTATTAACATATACGTTTCAGTATTTAAATACTATTTATTTTCGGAATAATATGTGGTTGAATACTATATTTCTATACTTTTAGAATAATGATCTCTTTTTGAAAGGGAACATTATTCTCATGTATTCCAGTGATTACTAAATAAGCAATATTTGAATACTTTGGAAATATTCAAATACCCTGAAAGTATTTCAATCTGCTTGAAATGTTGAAATGATATCAACATTTCATCTTCCTAGGGCTATTTCAGAGTGAAATATTAGTATTTTAATGACGCCATGTTTCATCATTGGAAACGGTTTATCGGAATCTAATAACATTATCATTAATTTTTATTTCCGATTAAGAATATTCATTTTTCGACTTTTTTATTGTAGGTAACTATCCTTGTCAAAATGAATTATGCCCATATATATTTTGCAACTCAAAACATATAATAAAAAAATTACACAGCCAAGATTTTCTTGAAACTGAACATTCATCATTATAGGAATTTCCTTTTATGCACTCCAACCCATATAAAAGAAGATGGTTACTGTGAGAAAATCCCAGAAGTGACTCATGATCTGTTTCTTTTCCAGATTACCGTATCCAGCAATTTTTGGTGGAGTATCGGCGATAAGCACAGAACATTTCAAGTTACTCAACGGTTTCTCGAATTCATTTTGGGGCTGGGGAGGGGAGGACGATGACATGTCAAATCGTATCAGGTTTCATCACCTGCATATCTCCAGATATCCCTTGACGATCGCCAGATATACTATGCTGACCCACAAGAAGGATAAACCTAGTCCAAATAGGTATATAATAAAGTTTATAACTATCAACCCACACATGCCTGACAATATTTTGTTTCAAATTCCGATTTTTGTTGTGTAAAACTAGTTCAATATTCAAAAATGAGTGACAGAAAAGACGGTGACCTTTTGAAAGGACAGTAGGCAAATGAGTGACATTTCCTCGAATAAAAGTATCTATCATATCAATATCCTAAATATAATATTCAATTCTGAACATGAAATCGAATGGAGAATATAATTCAACTACTCTGTCATAATAGGGCTTGAAACAAGTGAATCAGATTCGACCCTGGAGGTAAAACAACCTCACGCTTCTTATTTGTTTACAAGGAATTGAAATAGTTTTTCACAATTATTTTGGCGTAGGAATGGTATTTTTTCGGCTATATTATTAATTCGAAAGTGCCATCACATTATGCTGTTGAACAATGCACAAAAAGTGCAGCAAGAGACGAAGGAATTCAATTTTTTAGGTAAATTGTGATCTTGAAGTACCTTAGTCACTCACTTTTATCATTTTTCTTTAGAATGATTTCTGCCACTTCTGCAATAGAAGCTAATAGAGGGAAATTGTAACACACATGGCCATATTTCGTCAACATGTAAGACCAGTCCTTCCGTTTGACTGCACGAATCCAAGCTTCTTTGTTTCTATTAGCTCCTATTGCAGAAGGAATTCAAAGAAGAAATTACAAAATTTGAAAACAAAAACGATATTAGTGACTACAGAAGCTATTATTTACCTACCTAAAAAAATCGTATTCCTTCGTCTCTCGTTGCATTTTGTTTGCATTGTTCAACAGCACAATGTGATGGTATGCTTGAATAAACAAATACACCAAGAAACACGATTCACGAATCGGGCCCATGTAAACACACAAGAAAAGTGAGGTTCTGAGTTTGTACTGTTTTGCAAATGTGCACGTGACCTATTAGTGGATGAATTTCGGTTGTGCTTGTTCCTCACATTCATGAAATGAAAACAAACCGGTCAAAGTATTCAAGTGACCCCTAACTAATAATGTTCTTACCAACATGTAGTCTGTGATAGTAGTTGACTGAGAATGAATTCAAACCAATATCTGAAAGGTTGTTCTTTCATTCGCAGGTACGATGTTTTGAAACAAGGACAAAAACTTTTCGACAAGGATGGTCTGAACAGTTTGAAATACAAACTGGTTCTCAGAAAATTGAAATTGTTGTACACGTGGATCCTGGTTAGTATCGAGCCGCCCAGTTGATGAAATTGTTTTTGTTGATTGTGCTTGAATTGGAAGGTGATGACTGTGGTCTAGTCAGTAAAAAAAGGGTATGAAGTAATATATAGTTTCATAAAAATCACGCTGTATAAGGTGGAAAAAATTCGATGTTTGTATAGGATTATTCGGTAACTATGAAAGATACAAAATAGTTGAAGTGACATTTTTTATCTTTTTATTGAGCACAAATTCACCGGCGGAAACAAACGTGTAATTTCGAGTTGCTGGCTGAAGTTGCATATTTTCAAATAGGAATCATATTTGGCTATTATTTAGTTGAAACGTTGGTTTTTTTCAAACCATGTATTATATGTCAGGTCACTTTTGACGTGTAAGTCTTTAATATTGCGTTTTTTATATTTACTACAAGTAGGCGGGTGTCAATTGTGTCATCTATGACAGATTTATCCATTGGTCAGGAATAATATTTATTCACCATTTTTTATACACTTGTTACATTTGCAGTAAATTGCATATTAACGAATTTGTTTCCGTCATAATAACAATCAACTCATTCAATCCTGAAAGTGAAAAATCTTGAGCATATATATAATAATATGTTATAAAGTTCCATTGAAATTTGCACACTGACACACTTATAAACACTTGATTGAAATAAACATAAAAAATGCAAATAGAATTCAGTAATAGTTATTCAATAAGGACATATTGTGATTAGTGGTATCCTCCTTAGTTGTGCACGATGTTCTTCGAACATAACAGGGATTTCTTTTCGTGCGCTCCAAGAGATAGAGAGAAGAAAGAGAAATAGACCGTTTCAAGTAAACCTTAGCCAACCATAAGTAATTCCCATTACCCACAATACAATGAGTACAATAATGCAACTTTAGTCTTTAACTCAAAATTGCACCTATTTACAAATTTTGAAGATCGAAATTGTTTATAATTTGAAAATGAAAGACGATAACAAATGTTTGTTTCCACCAGTGAATTTTACTCAAAGAAAGAGATACAGAATGTCACTTCCATTTTTTGTATCTCCCACCTAGGGATTTTATCGAAACATTGAAATTGTCCAGGAGAAAACTAGAATCGCTCAAAGGTAATCTACAAATTTGATAGGGACACTTTGGGATGAAGGCACTCTGTGGAGATCGATGGCCAGTGGTTATAATATTTGTTATTGTTTACAACTCCAGTATTCTTTAGTGGTTACATCACACTGCTGGCAAATTGTGGTGCTTTTGCTTCTCTCCCTACTGGACTACAACACTCTTGAGAAATTATTGAGTAAGTTCTTAATTTACACCATTTTCTTGCACGATCGGGGTTTTTATTAAATTCGCGCTCACTAGGTGTGTGTTTAAGGTGATACTAAATATATAAAATTGAATATTCATTCATGTTATCATCACAGTGATCAAAGCGTGATTGTACACTGACAACCGGAACTTTTAACAAATCAAAATAATTAAAGTAGAGTTTATACAGCAAAATACACATTTACAGGAAATAATTTATACCAGATATAAAGTACATATAATTAAAATTCAGTATGTTAACTGAAACAGATAATTTCAAATATTGTTATCATTTTCCGTACTTATTTATTGTGGTTAGTATTTTCGAGATATTCAAATTCTTATTAGCCATTTTATTTCACTTTTTCAATTTACCATTATTAAATGTATAAACTTTACGAACGATAAGATTTCCGCAAAATTCTTAAAGACACAACATGTTTCGCTAACACAGTAGCTTCGTCAGGTGATATACTGGTACAATGAACTACTTAGTTCGTCTTTACGAATCGTTGCATGGATATCGGGAGGAAGTAATTTAATGTTCTGCATGGCATATAGCCACCAAAGTTGTTGTTTTTCTCTCGTTATCTACCATTTGCGTTCATTTTATGAACTAATGACTTCGAGTTTCTTCCTTTTTCTGAAATGAGAATTTGTTTAGGAGTGTTTGTTCCCTTTTGCTCAGGTGGCGTTCGTGTCCATCTCGCAGAACGCTTCGCGGGTATTAAATACTGGGATGTGCTTAGGTTGGGTCAGGTTTGCACCAGATGGTGGTCAAGAAGTCATCTGGAGACACCCCTGCACTGATGAGAGCCCATAGCGTTCCTGAACAATTTGGGCACAGCTCGGCATTTAGGAAAGAATCCTTGCAGCTGTATTCGTTTTTACGAATCGTTGCACAGATATCGGGAAGATTCAATTCAATGCTCTGCATGGCAGTTAGCCAGGAAAGTAGTTATTTTTCCCTCGTTATCTCCAATTTTCTTTCATTTCATGAACTATTGTGGTAATGACCTTGAGCTTCTTCCTCTTTGTGGCCATTTCATTCCACTTTGAGTATTTGGCTTTTTCCTAGTTGACATAAATAACTATTATATTAGGTATACCCAGACTCTAAATAAATCCATTAACATCATTACATTGCGCCGATCGTGCAAAAAAATAAACATTGCGGGCATCAAGTGTCTACGGGTATCGGAAGTAATTTTTGACCGGTAGGAAGCACTTACTGCCCCTGGAACGAGAACGTGTTATTTGAATGGACCAGGAAAGCCTAACGTCACAAAGATATTGTCAACAATATTTCCAAATATATTTCTTTATCTGTTGGAGCGCACGAAGGGAATCTTTATAAATGAAATAGAAACCGTTATGCCATGAGTCCTTCAATTTGTATCAATTTGTCATTTCCTTTCAAAACTTTTTCATTTGGCAAAGATATGAACACAAACTAATTGATACAAGCACAAGTCCTTAGGACAAGTTTATTTTAGAAGGAGGCTAGGTTATGGTAATAAACATTGATGTGATATGATCAGAGTTGTATTTGGAAAAATTATATTCCAGTGTTCCTTGGTAAATTTGAATGAACAAAAATAGTAATAAACTACCCTCAGCGAATTCTCTCTTGCGGTTTTTCTCTTTTTTTTTACAAACTCCTAAGTTAAAAAAGTGTAGTAAATACAAAAAGTGTTTGACATGACATTCTACATTGGAAAAATTTTATTACACTCTTTGGAAATATATTCGACAAGAATAATGTTCGTGACAATTTCGTCGTCCATTATACTTTGAATTTTGATGTTACATTAATACGAAAAATTATATTATGAATTGTAGTGATAAAAAATTTTGTGTAAGCTATGAACATATTAATTATGTTATTTATTCGATATTCATGATTCATCAATGTGATATTGGCAACTTCATATTATCATTTATTTCTTTTAATCGTTCCTAAGTTGTTGGCTCACTCAGATTTAGTTTCATTTTGATAACTATATTAATATTAATAACTAGCTCTGAAAGTGTCAATCATAGAATTACAAGAAGGTAGATGAATACAATACTCTCCTGAAGTCTATTTCATATTAGTTCAACGTCATTATTTGAAGTTACTAACAGAGTAAATCAAGTAAAATCAATAAACTAGAATATGGTAGGTACTTATTCCTTTTGATTCATTTTCGACATCAACTGAAGCATAATGTTGTTAGACAATGCAGCGTTGTATGGACATGTTAGTTATTTTCATTGTCTGCTAAATATGGAGAAAAAATCTAGTGAGCTGGAACTACTGGTCTTCCCTATAGCTCAGTTGAGTGTATGACCACTAGAGGATGTTACCGTATGAACTATTTTTGAATTTTTGAGTGACTGAGAGACCGTGACCCGTGAATGTCGTGACTGAACTCAAACTCACTGAACAAACTACGCCGCCGTCCGAGACTGCCGAGAGCACCATTGAGGGAGGCTCCAACTCATTTACGATTTTTAAGGTTATGTAGGTATGACAGGAAAACAATTTAAATGAGTGTTTCCTCGAGTTCTACTGTATCGACCACAGAAGCCTATAGGTGATTTCCCTTGTTTGGCAGACCAGATACTCCAGCTCACTAGATTTTTTCTCCATATTTAGCAGACAATGGTTATTTTAACTGGTCAACTGAAACTGATGTCATATCAGATGTACCCGAAAGTATTTCTCATGAGAAATATATTACAAAGATGTTCAATAGATTTCACGAATGTATGTTATTCGCCTATCTCCTACAACTAGATCTAGTCAAATATCCATGAAAACATTTTTTGAGATTTTTCACCTACTGGAATTTATTGCCAAATTTATTTTTGTAAAAGATGTAAATGGATGGACTCAACGTTTTATATAATGGCACTTTTAACCCGATCCCTCGATTCTGAGGTTACAAAAATAGATAATAGGTACAGTGAACATTGATCATAATACTAGTATTTCTGCTTCTACTAGTATTTCGTTTTTATAATTTCAGAAGCGAGACGTGGAACTCAAAGAACCCTAGAAATGATCAAAGTACTTGTCAAGATGTTTGACATTTTTTTGAACCCATTATCTATTCAGTTTTTAGATTAACTGTGCACATAAAGACATAAACACTTCTAGGGAGGAGGGGTGAAACCCATAAGCGCACAAGTCAAATTGTTACAAAAACTCACAGAGTTGAAGGTCAAATTCATCACTTTGAATTATATGAAACATTGAGTTCAGTTTTTCAAATTAGCTCTTAGGTGCCAAACAAAAAATGAGATATCAATCCTATCAGATTATTGAACTTATTCCTTATTCGAATTACTCTATTTACAGTTCCTTCAAAATAATGGATATACTCATACCCATCTATTTCCTTCGAATTATTTTCTTATCATGAGAAATATAATTCCGTTCAGTCAAATTAGTTGGTTATAGATGTTGTGTGCTTAAGAAAAATCAGAACTTGTAATACTTTTTCTGAAGATATGTTATTTTCGATTTGAATGGGTTTGAATCTTGCTTTATGTGTTTGAACCTCGAAACTAGGATTAACTGAAGTCCTTAAAATACACGAACGAAAGCACATGAACAGGATGAGACAAAAAAAATCACTTGAAAAAGAACGTCGGAATTTGGCTTCTGAAATTCAATTATTGAATCAGCTTATCCATGGCAAATAAGAAGTATTGAAGAATACACATGAAAGCGGTAGCTAAAAAACGATAGTGTGTATTTTCAGGACTTTAATCCGTTCAACTCGAAGGTTCTGAACATTGCGTCCCACATTAGTTTTATTAATATTACAACCAATTTGGGGCACATACACTAGTTTAGTTCGTGGCTGTGAAATGTATGCAGTAGGTACCTACTTTGCAAAAAATTCACATTAAAACATTTTATTTGATCCGATTTAATCCATTTGTTGAAAAAATATTATACATGGATTAAGAAAATGACACTTTTTGAAAACGAATGATATTAGTTATTCTTTTAGATGTATAAAATTGTGCTGTGATAAATGAGACAAGCATAAAATGAGTTTGAAATATCCGATTCGCTAAATTTGTAATCAATGTAATGCATTTTATTCATAATAATTATCATGAGCACAGATTAGGCATTATATCCGTGAAATGTGTATATTTTTCGGATCAATCTCAAAATAGTTTATCTAGATTATCTAGTTTATGTAGTGTAGTATGAAATGACAAATTTAAAAAAATAATATGTCCCTAAATATCGCGCTTATCAAGAAAGACATTTTTACATGTCCTACAGTGGCGGCTCGTGTCACACATTGTCATTATTACACATACAAGAATGGTATGGCAACACTGGTATGAAAATATTTTTTCTGAAGTTGGCAATCCTGACATGATATTTCTAACCTACGAATCCCACGTTCGGATTCCGTGTTCGGTGTGGACTGCAAACTTTTGTTGCTGCAGCCGAAGGTATTCGCACCACATGTTCACAAAATATATTTGCTACTACCTACAACAATGGTGCATTTCTGGTAATAAAGCATCACTGAGATAAATCACAAAGTTGAAAAAAAAGGTTTGGGATACTTCCATTGAAATAATCACTTTTCTGTAAAATGCCGTGGGCAAACTCATGAATAACATGAGACAAAACAATAATGATTGAATATCTACTGTAGAATTCAAACTCATCATTAAACTTTCAATAAAACTCATGAAAACATGTATGTAAACAAACATTCAATGTACTTTCTATAGGTCGCGTGCACGAAGACCCTGGAGGCAAAATGTTGAAACACAACCTCATTCTTCCGTGAATTATTGAAACACAACCTCACTTTTTTATTTGGTTACAGGGGAATCAAAGGAATGAAATAGTTTTTCACAATATTTTGGCATACGAATCGTGTTTTTTGCGCTATTCATTAATGGGCTTGTATCACAAACAAATTTTATTTCATAATTCGATAGAACTCACCAAAACTAGCTCACCACCGCAAACCGTTTCTTGCTGTGAGCTCCCTACGTTTTATAAAAAATTATTGAAATCCCTGATTCTTCGGACCTCTGAAAACGAGGCGATGATGTGACGTCAAAACACTAATACTGAAACAAGACTATTCCAGACAGAGATGAATGATACATGATTTCTGACAGAGTGAATTAGCGCGAGATCACTTGAAAGAATTAATATATCAGTTGCCTCAGTTTCCGTCGGGCGTTTGCTATTTTCTTTTAACTATGGCGAGATGAGGTTTCTACGTCATACATAAGAGAATCCGTTTTCAGAAGGTACCATTATTTATGTCCAAAAATAAAACATTCCAGTTAATTTTTCGATCGAATTATATCGTCAATCATTATTTATGTATAAAAGGATCATTATAAACATGGTTTGAGTTCAAAGTTCTACTAAGGTGTACACGCCCATTCGAGCATGCCTTCGCATTGTGCTGTTGTACAATGCACAAAAAATGCAGCAAGAGACTAAAGTATATGATTTTTCAGGTAAATAGTAATCTCACATAGTTATCATTATGAAATGTGTTGTCATTCCTTATTAAAATTCCTACTGCCTTCTGCCACTTCTGCAATACAAGCTAATACTGCTAATTGATTGAAAATGTCTACAACACATACGATCGTCAGCATGTCAGACCAGTCCTCCCGATTGATTGCATGAATCCAATCTTCTTGCATTATTTTAAAAATTTCAGGTGTATTTCTATTAGCTCCTATCGCAGAAGGAATTCCGATAAGAAATCAGAGAAATTACCAAATTGCAAAAATGAAAACTATATGTGAGTGACTATAGTAGGTACTTACTTAGAAATCATAATGTACCAACCGGATTACTTCGTCTTCCGCTGCAGTTTTTGTGCATTTCACAACAGCATAATATGATGGCATGAGCGAATTGATGAATAGCGAAAAAATACGATTCGTATGCCAAAATAATTGTGAAAAACTATTTCGATCACCTGTAAACAAATAAGAAAAGTGACGTTGTGTTTCAATGTTTTGCCTCCAGTGTCGGTCATCTGACAGTTCTTGCACGCAACCCATTAGCTACTTGAATATCTGTAATCACGTTGTTGTTGGCAACACTGGCTTTGAGTGTACTTGAAGAATTCGAGGTTATGTGGCTGGAGTTTTTTTTTTTACAAGGAAACTTTTTAGAAAACCATTACTTCAAATTCGGAAATTTCAGAACAAAGAGTGGGAAAATAGAAATATTCCAATGGACTTTTTTTAAAGGGTAGGCGACTCCTATACCTTGCGTACCCTGACGAGCCGCCACTGATGTCCTAAAAGAGCTACAATGTATATGTACATTAATAAATTCAATTGTGATAATAAACAAATAAACATTTTTATTATACATCAATATTTTCATTTGTTTCTATGAGTTTAGCAACAATCTTGGGTGGATTTTTAATCTGAAAATTGAAGGATTCATTCAAAAGATCTAGGAACTTGGTGTTATTCAAAATATCATGTGATAACACTTCGTTATTGAATTGTGCGTTTCTACACTCCTCAAAAATGTTTTCCAATTTTTCTGAAAAACTTTCATCCTCAAGATTTTCTTTTGTTTGGCTGGGAGGTAAAGTCTTGGCGAAAACTTGTATGAGGCTATGAAGTGTTATAAAATGTGCGATAACAGTGTCATCACAATTTTCAAAACCAATCGCCAAATTTGAAAATTTATCCTCTGCTACATTCAGAACTTCAACTGTTGAATTGTCATTCTTGATGATACTTCCTGTAGTTTCTTCTTCATCCTCTGGGGATTCTCCATTGCAAAGTGTCACTTCAGCGCTGCTGATTATTTCCTGAAGAGAGTTTTTTCTTGTTTCTTCATCTTCTGTTGGTGTCAAGTCTTCAATAATGACACTGTCACATCCATGGACTACTTCATTCACTACATCCTGTAAAATACACTCGGCAAATTCTTGATTTTGCCTTCGCTCTTCATTTCTGGTTCGCACCTAAAATTTAGGAGGGACTTGATTATTTTCTGCAATATTTTTGTGAATAAAGAGGGCGACTCAATTGTGAAATTTCGAAGAGAGACAGAGTGATTGTCTTCAATTCCTCATTTGCTATAAATTAAAAAGGTAATTATGGCATAAGAGGATCATTATTTTATGTATGTATATATGGGAAACAATTTCAGGTTGGGAAAAATTAGGCATCACGACCTGAAACTGTAGAGTACAGTGTGTCTATTTAGTGCATAATTCTTCGATATCTCGGAATCCATTATCACAAAAGAAAAACTTTTGAAAACAAATTCCTTCCGTTAGTAAAGGTTTCTATTTCAAAAATATCCTCAACAATACTGGGTGTTTTATAAAAGCGGGACGACTCGAAGATGAGTTTTTTTAAATAGAACACCCAGTATTTTTTATTCGAAATTCATTTCGCTAAGATTTAGCTCTACATCACTGTAAAAAAAATGAATTTGGTTCCGGCATTTCCAAGTTATAATTGATAAACCCATTTTTACTACTATTGAAGGGTCATGTTGAATTGGGTATGGTATATTCATGAATTAAAATTTTGAAAATATTTTTGGCAAGGTCTCACGTACACCAATTCATTAATTTTGCGAGACAATCCTTTACAGGGTGCTAAAATTTACATTCTGAATATTGGAAGATTCAGACGACGTTCATTAGAATTTTTCAAATGGAATTTTTCATCACAGATTTATCGACATCATTCTAATTTTCATCGCTGAAGAAAAAATCAAAATCAGTTGCGGCGTTTTCAAGTTATGAGTAATTTCCTTATGTTTATTACTATCTCAGGGTTACTTATAAGGCATGGTTCCTTTATTTGATTTGAGTGTGGGAATATTACTTGCCACATGACATCCGAGGTTATACATAGATCATTCAGGTAATTTTGCGATAGGTGCATTGTCCAAATTTATAATATCTTGTTACTTATGATTTAAATAATATGTATGTACCTATATGAAACAAACAAACATGCCAAATGCAACGCCTGCCTTTGAAACAACTTCAGATTTGGATTTCGAGAATAAGGACAATTTTTTAAAATTTGGGCCACTTATTGTCGTTATTCCCATAAACCAAATCTCCATATTTTTTTTATGTTCTGGTCCCCACGAAATGGGACATCTTGTAATGTTCAGAGAACATCGTGAGAACCAAGGGAAATGAGATAGGAATTGGTGTTCTTCTTAAATTTCTGGAGGTTATATGCCTCGGAGAACACCTCCCTTGGCAATGTGTTCCAGAGCCTCGCTGTTCGTTGGATGAACGAGTCTTTGGAGAGAGATGTTCTGCAGGTCTCCAAAGTGACCACGAAGGTGTGCGAAGCCTCAACTAGACGGGTTAATCTCGCGGGGACTGCCAAGGGAGAAACAACTGTTGATAATTCAGAAGAGCATCGTCCATGAAAATTTCTATAAAAAAGAGCCAGATCGCCAACTTTTCTACGGTGTTCCAGAGAAGTGAGTGAGTTTATGAGCGAGGCATCACCCATGAGACGAATTGCCCTTTTTTGGACAGAATCCAACAGTTTCAGGGTATGTTTGGGTGCTGCACTCCAAATGTGGGAACAGTATTCCAGGACAGGTCGGATCTGTGCCTTATAGATCCTAAGCAGCTGACTGGAAGTGAAATAGCTCCTGGCCCGAAACAGAAAACCAAGTTTTTGGGATGCACTTTTAGCAATTGATCTCACGTGATTTTCCCAAGATAGTAATCCCAAGCATCGAAATGGATGTCTTCAAAGGTATGGTTACTCCTGACAAGCTTATGTTGGGCACAGTGAGATCGGCTTTTCTAGAGAATAGGCATGCTTGTGTTTTGTTTGCATTGTTTGCATATGATATATTGATTTAATTTTTTATTATTGAAATGAGTCATAACCTTCCGCAATTCAACATCGACATTTCTCTATATAAATATTTGAGCGATGAATAATGTATACCGTATAGGTACCTATATCATATGCGCACTGTATTATTATCCTCACCTCTTCTTCATGAATTTTCCTCTCTTCCAAAGTAGCTTCTACGAATTTATTCCCAATTTCATTGTCCCAACATATCACTTTTCCCATAGAAAGTGCTAAGGCCTTCGCAATTCCAGCAGGTATACTCTCACCCTTGCAGAAATAAAACAACATTGCCGTATAATTGAAATACTCCTCAGTAACCTTATACATTTTGAAAATCAGCTGTTTGATCAAACCATTTCTCGAACCACCTTCAGTATCTTCAAACCACAAATCAACCGATTCATACTGTTCTTCATTTATCAATTCCATAGCATCCGAGTCTAATTCACTGTAACATTTCCTCAGTCTCAGAATATCTTCTGCACTTGGGAATGGTATCACGAGATTGTAAACTATGAAGTCCTTCCACCTGACCAGCTCTTGGCGTCCAAACAATTCTCTGGAAAGCTGAGTGATATTCTCAGGCGACATTCTAGACCAAAGCCTAGGCATCACACTTTCTTCCTCTTCTATCACCATGTCTTGAAGAAGGTAAACGAAGATGCGCTCAGGAATGTAACCACTTGGTGCCAAATCGAATAGAATTTCAGTCATTTTTTCCAACTGAGGTATGGTGAAGAACAGGTCTTCTGGTAAGTCAGTGGAGGTTTGCTCTGGAGGAACTTCGTCAGGGAAAAATATGTGTTGAGGGTTAAGATAGAACTCCCCATCCTTGAAGACTAGCTCTTCTTGGAGGGGAACAGCTGCTTCAATAGCTCTTGCTAGGAAGTTGCAAACGTTGTTGACTATGCTGACTTCGTGCGTGTATTTGGATCTGATATCTTCGTAGACGTTGAGCATGTTTTTCTTCACCGTGTTCAGGTTTTGTTGGAGATTTTGTTCCAGGTCGTGTCTTAGGAGTTTCAGGCATATTGTCAGTCTGGCTGTTTCTCCAGTTAGAACGCGCTTCCATTCTTCGAAGAGCTTCTCTGAATTTTGTTTCACTTCATTATTCGGTTCGAATATCGTCGGATGACTAATATCGCCTGGAAAATTCGATATTTATTTATTATAAATGTATAGAGCAAGATCCCATGAACGCCAGACCTTCGATATTTTATAAGAGCTGACAGAGCATGCTCCCAACACAGGTAAGAATGATGGGCAAATATGTTTAGGTCATGATGCCTTTGACAGGTTACAGGGAGCAAATGTGCTAAAAATACCAACATACTTCCGTCAAAAAAGGGTAATTTTTTAGCTTTTGAAGCAACGATGATGGGGGGAGTTCAAATAGTAATTAAATTTGTGTTGGCCGCTTTTGTGTGAAATAATTGATGACTTCGAGTGGGGTATTGCGGTACGTTATATCGAATGGAATTATTAATTGGGATTGAGTCTATCATATTATTTACCAACTAAAGCGAAAATTTTATGTCGCAATATCTCTTCTATTTTCGAGACTAAGTATATTCAACTTTCTGCTTATAAAAGTTTTATCGACATGAGGTACGGAAGTATTTATTCTCAATATAGTGTATGAATTTGTTTTGAATATTCTCTACTTGTTTTTTTGTAAATAATGTACTGGGGATTCCAGATTGTAGAGTCATAACTTAAGGTGCTATTGACATAAGACATGAAAAGGATACGAGCAGTTTTAGGATCTTTAAAATTTTGCAGTTATTTTCATGAGAACATAAAATTTTTGGCGAAAAAATGTTTGTAGCCACTTTTCAAAAAATGCCCATTTTCGAAGAACACTTTGTAACTCCGAAACGAAGACAGATAACGATATGCGGTTTTCACCATTGAGTTTTGCATGAGAATCGACCCTCAGACACCGACATCAGTTTTCTTCTATCTAGTTTCCCTTTAAAAGTGACAAATTTGGCCCATCCTGTACAATAAAATTCAGTTGTTATACTTCAACGAAAGTTAAGTTACAATTCAACAGGGTTTAAGTGTGTCTGGCAAGGGGTAGGCACCATGATAACGTGTCTGGCAATGGATGACGTGGTTTCTAATATTATTCCGAATAAAATATAAAAAATTGCACTTTATAGTATGACGAAATAAGTTGGTATTTTAAGTACCTTTGCTCCCTGTAACCTACCAAAGGCACCATGACCTAAACTACATATTTGCCCATCGTTATTACCTGTGTTAGGAGCATGCGCTGAGAAACTTCCAGCATTTATAAAATAACGAAGGTCTAGCGTTCATGGTTTCTTGGACTAGTAGAAGTGTCAGCGAGGAGAAATAATATGGCCTAAAACAAGTTCTGGTATAAAGGAATTAGTTTTTACAATAATAACAATACAATTATATCGAGACTGAAACTTTCAAATATATGCGTTCGTCTCAGAACCACTCAGATAATCCTTTGAAGTTTGGCACATACTTGAATGACACCCTGTATATCAAGGTATTTGGGTTGATGAGTAATTAACATGGGAAAAGCATATATTGACATCGTCATAGGAAAAGTATTTCCCATTATTGGTGCTTTAAGAAGATGTCCTAAACTTAGTAGATATACATCAAATATTATTCTTTATTCACATATACTCAGTCGAATTAACTATCTCATAAATATTTGGGGATTTTGTTACAAAAATAGATTCAACAAAATGTCTGTTCTATATAAAAAGGCATTGAATGTATTTATTGTATCGTCTTCCATATGATACTCCAACAAATCAACTGTATAAGGAAACAAACACATTTTCTTTGGAAGAGCACTTTTAAATCAATAATAGGTACTCTCAAAATTTCCTATTATATCATCAACAAACAGCTTAAATCAAATTTTACATCAATTAGGAATTCCCAAATTCATGGTCATCACACTAGACAATATAACTTGTTTCATCTTGAAGCTGCAAATTATTAACTTAGACAAAAAAGTTGACACATGAGGCGATTTCGAAATTCAATAAATTACCCTCGGCTACCCGTCAGGCATCAAATTTCACACGCGGGAGAAAATGTATACCTTATGCTTCCTTGATATATGAATAGTTATGATTTCATTTCTAATTCCAATTCAGAATTGTATTCAAATTGTTTGTGTATCATCTGTTGTCTGAACCTTATTCAAGTACCTATTTGATATTTTGTTATACGCACTCACCTTTTATGCTTTTGTTCTTCTTGCTTTGTTTTTCCTTCTGTTTTTCAACGTGGGGGGAGAAGACCGATTTGACTTTTTCTAGACAAGACCAGGCCCAACTTTGACACTTATTCGAAAACGCTGATGCCTTGCCGTAGATCTGCTCGACAGTTTTGCTAAAAGGGTCACCTAGACAGATATACAGTACCAGAGGGGCGGCGAATTTTGTTATATGTCCAATGGGTGCCAGAAGAGAGGGTAGGGTAACGCACCCAAAAAAGGGGCGGCCAAGAACTTTTTTGTTCAAGGTTATATGCTTTCGAATTTGAAACTCTCAAAAATCTCAAAGCTTCAATGCCAACTATATAGATACGATCTATAATTATATTCTGGTTTTGCGTCTTACTTATAACCGTAACAACACAAGTACATCCTAGGGACGTCCCTAATTTCATACTAGGACATCCCAGGGATATCGTTTGTCGGGTCAAAGTAAATACTAGGGACATCCCAGAGACATGCGCTGGCCGACAAGAAAGGCATCCAAGGGATGTCTTTATGGATCTAAGTACGAAGAAAGGATATACCTAGGACGTCCCTCGAATATTCCAGGGTCATCTCTCCGACAAAAGAAAAAATTAGGTCCTTGTACCGCGGGACAAAGAAGGGACGTACCTAGGACATCCCTGTGTTGTTAGGGAATATATGAAATAGTTTATTAGTGTTTTATTAGTGTCTAATTCTCGCCCTATCCATCCCAGGAGCGCATGATACTTCACGAACATAAAAAAGATAGAAGCAATTCAAAAAGGAATTGATAAAGGAAATTACATAGTAGTTGTTTTCATTGATCTAAAAAAGGATTTTGATACAGTGGACCACACAATACTTCTGGATACCTCTTGGAATCCATGGGACTCAGAGGCATTGTGAGAAATATTTTAGCTTCTTATCTTGAGAATAGGACAATCAGCATCAAATCTGCTAATTCTGAGTCTCATAAACTGTCAATGAATAAGGTTATTCCACAAGGATCTGTTTTAGGACCAATACTGTATCTGCCTTTTATTCAAAGTTGGTTTAGCGAGTAATTATATCATATATGCAGACGATACAGTGCTTTTATATGAAAACAAAAATCCTCTAATTCTGGAAACTGTGATAAATAACGATTTGAAAAATGGCTCCACTCTAACCTTTCATCAATAAATACAAGTAAAACTGAATACATGATTTTTCAAAAAAAAAAATAGACAAAAAATGCAACTTAATCTTCAAATAAAGAATGAATTATTGAAACAAACTGAACAGATGAAGTATTTAGGTATTTGGTTTGATGAAAAATTGAAGTGGGACAAACATATTGAGGTTCTGGCACAGAAAGTAACTTCTATCATTGGTGCATTGAGAAGATGTCCCAAACTCAATATGAAAATTGCAAATATAGTACCCAATTCTGTCGATGAATAAGGGTGTTCCACAAGGATCTGTTTTAGGACCAATACTGTATCTGCTTTATATTCAAAATATCTCTAAAGTTGGTTTAGCGAGTAATTATACCATATATGCAGACGATACAGTTCTTTTATATGAAAACAAAAATCCTCTAATTCTAGAAACTGTGATAAATAACGATCTGAAATTATTTTATTTAAAATGGCTCCACTCCTTCTTATCCTGCCTAGGCAGAAGTTATTATATTTCAGGTATGAAAGTTCCAGGAATATTCCCAAGTGAATATTCTGTCTTGAATATTTATGAAATATTCTCAACTGAATATTATTATATATGTGTTGTATATTCAAAAAAATATTCCATGAATATTCCCATGTTCTTCAATGAAATGGTATAGCAGGAACACCAATCATTATTTTAGAGATGTTAGAACCAAACATTTATCATATTTAAGGAGATTTAGAAAGAAAAAGGGCTTATTATCCGATTCTGAATAACGCGCTCTCACAAGAAATTGTTATGTAAGTACAAACATTATTTAATTCGATTACTGTTCTGATGGTTGAGGCGTAGCTCTGACAGTCTGGAAGTCACGGGTTCGAGCCCATCTTGGTTCTTATTTTAGAATGTTTTTGCAATATTCCAGGAACATGCAACATGGAATATTCTTTTGGACATATTCTATGAATATCTGAGAATTATGAGGAAGTCCCTTTGCATATATTTAGAGAATATTCCACAGAAATCCTAGAATATTCCAATATTCCGAAAGGAATATGATAGGGAGATTCACGGAATATCTGGTGCTGTCTGGGAACTTCACAATACGAAATGTCTAACCCTTGATATTACCTAGATCCTCGTCTACTCTGAGAAGCACATCACATACAGCCTGCTCGATTCCCGAATCCAAAAGATCCAATCTGGACAAGGCCTCTTTCGCTAGTGATTCCTGTACCGGCAATTTCGTGACGATTCCCGCATAGTAGTCGCTAACAAGCGTGAGCGTATCGACGTGCCTGTTAATTGCGAGATTTCACATCCACCCGAATAGCTCCTTCATATTAATAATGATAATAATAATAATGCCGTGATAATAAGGCACCCATTTAAGCTGGTGGAATGCAGAAGTTCGTCATACTTGGATCATTACGTCTACTCAGGGCACATGAAACCAATGAATAATTGCATGGAACATGGTCCCTTATTGGTCCCAGCAATGAACTCAATATACAGGGTGACATAGAAAAAAGTACATTGCATAGTGCCACACAATAGAGGATACTAAAATAAGAAAAAAAGTTCCTATGAACATGGGTCCGCAAGACCTTCGGTTAAAAGATAACGTGAAAAAAAAATTGACGCCTCGCAGGGATTGAACCCCAGTCACCACCGTGGAAGTCAGATACACAGACCACTAAGCTTTCACCCTTTTACTCGTAGTAGTTGTAGTTAGTCAATATAAAGAAGGATATCATGTGTTGTGGGTGACGTCACTTGACCTCGGTGTTTGCGCAATGAACTCAATATATAAACACCGCTAGACGCTTGTGACTTAATACGAGAACCTAAAGTTCCCGAACCATTCCCAAACATCGTCAGATTGGTCACAGTGAATTACGTGATACATGAAAGACGCATGCGCATTCACTCGTACAAAAACTGTATTAACGAGACCCTCGGGGTCTCGAGAGGAAGGAAAAGCATCCTTGAAAGACTAAATCACTACACAAATGATCACAGTGGGCCAGTGGGCTGACGCCATGCTATTAGTGGACTAGAATAAAACTCCTTGGGCCAAAATCAGCCTTCACAGTTTGATTGCGAAAAATAATCATCAGAAAACACTAACCTCACCATCATATCACGTTATGGGAATGGTTCGAAATGGGAATGGTTCGAAAGATTTAGGCACTTCTGTGGGAATAAGTGGTCACTGGAATAGATTCAGCTCGACTCTGCGTGGCGTTGGAGGCAGCAGAGTCGTGACTGGAATGAATATGAATTCAATTTTTCTCATCATAATCATCATAATAATAATAACTCCGATCGGTGGCTAATTGGGTAACCAATAAAGCACTTTTTTTATTATTATTAATAATAATAACTACTACAATCTCCTCAAACAAATTATAATGAATGGCGATTCAAATAAGCATCGATGCTATGTGGTTCGATATCATACAGTAATTGTTTCAGAAGTGGCTTCGTTACTGAGTTCAAGTCTATATAAGACTTCTTTCAGAGATGGAGTTAAATTGTTATTGTATTTGATAGACATAGAAAAAAGTACCTTGTGTCACACAATAGAGGACTCTAAAATAATAAAAAAAGTTCCCATGAACACGGGTAGTCAAGGCTCTCGGTCGAAAGATACGGGGTGTTGAATTTCAATTTTTTTGGGGGTTTTTTGAATATCTTCAACCAGACGCAAAAAATTGATAAAATGTGGTGAACAGGGGGTTTTTAATGTAATTGTTGAAGTATTTATCATTGTTTTTACTAATAAATTTAAAAAAAATGAATCCAACACCCCGTATCTTTTAACCGAAGGCCTTGCGGACCCGTGTTCATGGGAACTTTTTTTCTTATTTTAGTGTCCTCTATCGGGTGCGGTACTATGCAAGCTACTTTTTTTCTGTTTCACCCTGTTAATGGAGCGATTCGGGTGGATAAGAATTCTTGCCTGTCTATTTCCAGCTGAAAGCCGTTTATGTAGTTGTTGATGAGCTCCACCAGTTGCCTCGGAGCCCACTTTTTGTTGACGATGAGGCATCGTGCTTGTTCAGCCTCCATCATCTGCTGGTCGCACACTCCGATCAGTTTCTCTCTCAGCTCGTTCACCCTGTAGACAAAAATGCAGCAAAAACTTCAGTCGCATCAAAGGATTGAGATACAGATTTACAGAATACAGAATCAGTGACGGATTTCCCATGACACAGTAGACGCGGGCCAAGAGCTGCCACCCAGCGAGCACAAACATCCCTGGGATGTTTTGAAAATGTTAGCATGAAGTTGTTATTTTTGAGACGTAATATGCACTGACCAAAGAGGTCTTTGAAGGATATTGAAGTATTGTCTTTGTTCTTCTGTGGCATTTCTTTGTTTGCCTACTGAGAGGTATCCCTGGGATGTTTTGGGATGTTTTAGAAATGTAGGCATTAGGATTTTTTTTTGAGGCGTAATATGCACTTTCCAGAGAGGTCTTAGAAAGATATTGAAAGTATTGTTTTTGTTCTTTTGTGCCCTTTCTTTGTTTGCCCCACCACAACGTCTCATGTTTACGTCACAATACGACGAATTCTGATTTGTTTTCGATTTTGTTCTTCTTGTTCGCAATTGGCATTCGCGTTTGCAGCGTGTCACGCTTACATCATGCTGCTAACGAAGAGAAAGGAATTTGGTGAAGTTTATTGTGTTAGAAGACTTATTTAGTTTGTAATAATGACCATCAGATGCAAGATGTGTTGTTCGGTGCCTCAGTGTGATCAATATACAGGGTGTTTCGAAATTCGACCGACAACGCTTCACAGGTGGTAGCTCTCGTGATTTAATAAATAATGAGGCAGGAACATAAGGCTCTGACGTGCTTAGTTATCGAGATACAGGGTGTTAAAGTTGAGAAATAAAAATAGTTTTTTCGCAATATCTCAAAAACGGCTGATTTTTTTTCATTAAAATTCGATGAGCAAATTAAAATTGAGAATCTCCATTTCCAGACGTTGAATTCATATTTGACAATTGATCCAGTGGCGCCATTAAGGGGGTATGATTGCATGATTTTCCAAAAAAACATGTGTTGCGATATGAATTTTGGAAATTTTATATGATTATATCAAAGACCATTCAATTTTGAATTAAAAATGCATACTTGATGGATCTCGATAGAACCCACCATTTTCGAGAAAAAACGAAAAATGTAAATAGTATTCCAATCACTTCATTCCCAATCGATCAATCAGATAAAGAAAATTTACCCAAAAAACCACAACAATATTGAAAAAACTATAAATAAGTATTTCGGAAACTAAGTAGACATCCTTAGTAGTCCTCAGTCCCACAGGTCATTTTCGGAGAATATCTCAGTCAGCGAACTATTTTTTACTTTTCAGGACTTCTGAGGATGGCAATTCAGTTGCCGAAATACGTATCAAGAGTTTTTTCAATACTGTTGTGGTTTTTTGGGTGAATTTTTCTCATTTGATTGATCGATTTGAAATGAAGTAATTGGAAGACTATTTACATTTTTCGTTTTTTCTCGGAAGTGGTGGGTTCTATCGAGATCCATCAGGTATGCATTTTCAATTCAAAATTGAATGGTCTTTGATATAATCATATAAAATTTTCAAAATTCATATCGCAACACATGTTTTTTTGGAAAATCAAGCAATCATACCCCCTTAATGGCGCCACTGGAAGAATTGTCAAATATGAATCCGACGTCTAGAAATAAAGATTCTGAAGTTTGATTCGCTCATCGAATTTGAATGCAAAAAAAATCAGCTGTTTTTGAGATATTGGGGAAAAACTATTTTTATTTCTCAGTTTCAACACCCTGTATCTCGATAACTAAGCACGTTAGACCTTTATGTTCCTACCTCATTATTCATCAAATCACGAGAGATACCATCTGTGAAGTGTTGTCGGTCGAATTTCGAAACACCCTGTATATAAAAGTACGAATTTATCAATACACAGCTTCTCCGCAGTTGCAAAATTATGCATTGTGGAGAACATTTCAAAAATTGGGAAACCTATTTCCAATTATATGTCTGTGTGTAGTAAGCACTACTCAGAAACCGATTAAGATGGTCATATCAAGAAAATATTTTTATGTTCAATCTATTTTTAATGCATTTTTTCATTCAAGGGAAATGGAATCCTAATGCAAAAGTTCATTTTGACAAAAGGCTTCAGAAAAGTACCTCGAAAATGTTTTTTTTACAGCTATTTAATGTGCGCAAGACGCGTCGAAAATGTTTTTTTGTGTCCATGAAAAGGCTTTAAAAAGAACTAGGGAGAAGGTAGTTTTGTGACATATCAAGGACATCTCGATAATTGCCGCCTGCGGCGGACATTGGCTGTTCTATAATAATTCTATTCATGTGTGAACAGAACATCGCAGTGGAGGTTCAATGTCTCGAAATCTCGTACTTTTAACATCTCTGAGATGTTTTTGTGCTCGCTGGGCAGGCGCCCTTCGTGACGAAAAATTCCCTGATCAAAACAAGAAATAACTTGAAGTACCAAAATTTATATAAAAAATATTTAAGTCTCTACTGTCGACACGCCGAGTCCAGTTTTACTGGTGATTCGAAATATTTATAGTGTCACAACTTTTTTGTAATAATTGATGCAGAAGAAACGATGGGATGCTTATAAATTACTTATAATAAATATAACTGTAAGTTCGTCAGAAGTCGAAGAGGAGGCCAAAGCATAACAATAATTTTTCAGATTGATGCATAATAATATGTCTTAATTTTCGTGCTTACTGCTGTATAAAAAAATGGAGACCTGGATAAAAAAAAACGAAAACCAACTTGAAAGTTTTATTCAAATGTGCGATTACTTTTATCCGAATTTCTGAATTATTTTCGTTAAAAGTTGGCAAGGGCGACCACGACTACAAATCCGCCACTGTACAGAATGTTTGCGCCCAATCGTTACACATTGGCAACATAGCAACTGAGACTGATTCGGCCAGTGTTGAAAGGTTGAATTGTTAAGAAGTTATGCATGTCATAAAATTATTTCTGGGAAAAGGTGCATCCATGTGGATGAAATTCGTAGAAGAAAAAATCACAAATGTGACATATAGTTTCAGGAGATTACTCAGAAATTGATCATTTTGCTGAATTACTTGTTGTTGTTGTTCTTTATTACCCCAAGAAACATATTTGTAATAATTAACAAGTTACCTATGTCAATATAACATAATAATTGAAATAAAATCATTCCAAGTATTCAAATCAGAATCAATTGCTCCGTTTATGAGTAGGTATATATTTTTTCATATTGACTTTGAATCTTGTTTCATCATCAATATGTTTCAAATCACAAGGTAATGAATTATATAAAATGATTCCGTTGTAGAATACTGATTGTTTGCCAATAATGGAGTTATATGGGTTTGCTATTAATGAATTCAACTGTCTCGTTTCATGAGTATGAATTTTATTTACTTCAGTGAATAAGTTCAAGTTGGATTTTTTTTTCTCACACAATTAATAAAAGAACAAATTTTCATTTTATATAACGATGATAAATTCAACAGATTTTTTGGTTTGTAAAGATTAATAGTTGGCTGGGAAATTACTTGTGCTTCCCCAAATTGATATTAAATATTGTAATTTTGAGTACTTTACGAAAGCACTTATTATACAGTGCTTTCAGTGGATTATTTACCGACAATGAAGTTCTGCTTTGAATTCAACATCACTACGAATATCAGCATCGAATTCATTATAAAGTTGTTGAAACTTTCTCAGATACATCTGTTTGTCATCGGGCGAGTTGATGTATTTATTCATGTGAATCTTGACGTAGTTGACCTTCGGCATTATGGCATTCAGGATGATCCTCTTCATGAACAAGACCTAATAAAAATGATAATGATGAATAGTATATAGTTTAAAGAGCACGGAATGGTGATTTCCAACGAGTGGGAAATTATCATTCCTTTCGAGTTATACACTATATATAATTTTTCTACGGCCGTAACATATTACAGTGAAATTTTTTATTTCTTCGTCTTGTAGCCATCTGATTTCCTCTCCAGTAATACTCATCTATTAGACAGAGCTGTCATTGCTTGAAATTTGACATTCCACGGGCGATGAGATTTTTTTGAAATAATAACATAATCGATAGTCATTGTGATATCAGATACGGACATAAAATTGATGACATATAAGGTAACTCATTATGATGTATCGAACACAGTATAAAAAAGAGCAATTGTGTGTTATAGATGTAGAAAAACTTCATTTTCCTTCATGACTAATACATTATTCGTAAAGGATTAGTCATATCACATTGGTAGGTATAGTATTGAAAATAAAAACGAAAAATTTACACAAATGTATAATTTATACTAACATAATATAAAAATTATGTGAAAAAATTTAACGTTCAGGGTCATTCCGTATATTTAAAGATAGCTTCTACAGGGTTCACTATTGAAGATAGAAAAAAACTTTAGATACAAATAAGAGTTGTAGGGTTTGTTCTGAACCTGCAGAAAATTGTACGAGGTGAAACAAATGAATATCGCTGATATCAGAAATCGGTACCAACTTCGTTATTTTCAATGGAACACCCTATATAATATAATTTACGAAAAAATTGAAGATTTTTCTTTTCTGATATCCACAATATGTAGGTTGTTGATATTCGTTTCAGCCCTTTACAAAATATTCGAGGTTGAAAATTTTTTAGCTATACATCCCATTTGGTTTTACCAAATCGCAGTTGCCATGAAGAATAATCAACACATATATGCAAAGAAAATACGACAGAACGTTACGTTAGCACGTGCTAAGTACACTATTTTCTCTACTATAGCGTGCAGATAAATCCCAAATTCCTCTTTTCCGCACTCATTTTAGTGTTGAAACAGTAACTTTTCGGCACGCAAGTAGTAGTAATATATGTTGGAATATTTCTCAAACGGCTGAACCGCGAATATCAACAACCTATATATTTTTGAAATCAGGAAAGAAAGATCATTTCTTTGAAAAATATATGGGGTGTTCAATTGAAAATAACGAAGTTGGTACTCATTTCTCATATCAGCGATATTCATTATTTGTTTCACCTCGTACAATTTTCTGGAGGTTCAGAACAAAAGCCTACCACTTTTGTATTCGAAGTTTTTTTCTATCTCCAATGATAAACCCTGTAGAAGATGTTTGAATATACGGAATGACCCGCTGTACTAGCACTATCAGGAAATCGGTATGAGATTAAATTTCAAGTTTGCGGCTATAACACAAAATTGCTCTTGTTTTACTGTGTTCGATACGTCAATGAGGTACTTTGGATGTCATCAATATTGTTTCCGTATCTGATATCACAATGACTCCATTGTGTTATTATTTCAAAAAAATCTCATCGGTCATAAAATGTCGAATTTCAAGCAATGGACAGCTCTGTCTATGATAGATGAGCATAACTTGACAGGAAATCAGATGGCTACAAGACGAAGAAATTGAAAATGCCGCTGTAATCTATTATAGAGCCGTAGAAAAATTATAGTGTATAACTTGCACGGATTGCTAATTTCCTACTCGAATGATTGCAGCATTCGCCTATATATGGCTCATGCTGCAAACTTAATTCTCGTAGGAAATCACTATCATTTCGTGCTCGTTAAACAATATACTATTGTATGTACCTATATAGTGTTAAGGTTTGTACCTGACTAAAATCTTCTATATAGACCTCTTCGGCGTTTTCCCATAAGGTTGCCAGCGCTACTTGCAGCTCGTCAGCCAACTTCAAGTCGGTGTATTTCCAACCTGGAGATCCTGGTTCGATGGATACTTTTTCCAATTCTTCTTCTTCTTCGACTTCTTCAACGATGACTTCCGGGATTTGGGTGAATTTATCCGAGTGTACGATCAAAACGTGACCGCTCTGGTCAGTCTTATCTTTCATTCCTTTCTTCTTATCTGCAACAAATTAGGAATAAATAATATTGTACAGGGGTCCAAATTCTGATGTTCGTTTATTATGATGACTATAGGAAATACAAATAATGGTGGTGACACTCTCGATCTCTATTATAGACAAATTCATTGGCGAAACAAAAATTTGCTATCGCCGTTTGTTTTCGAGTTATACAGGGCGTTAGTGAAGAACTGCTACAGAGGGGGCGATTCCTTGTGATATTATAGGAAATAGCTTCGGTTTTGATATACAGGATGTTGAAGTTGGAAGTATTAATTATTTTTATTTATAACGCCCCTGTATTAGCTTTCATGGTGCCAAAATTCAGTATGGTTGGAGACTGAAAAAGTCCCAAAATTTCAAAATGATTCTTATTTTGAGGTTATTGAGTAATCTCAATGAATGTTTCGAGAGCACCCACATTAAAATTTAGAGTCAAATCGAATTTTTATTGTTTCTTTAGATACTAATAAGCAAGATCCGAAAAAACACAGAGAGGATAAGAAAGTTGATATTTCAATTGTTCAATCAAATGAAAATATGGAAGTCAGAAAAACTATAGAGTCCCTGTATATACCTTAGACAAGAGTCCGGACACAAAACTGACAGCTGTTGGGGTTTTCAATATTTTGTTTCATTTGGTTTGCCCACCTGACAATGTGACGAAACACCACATAGTCGTCCCGCCCGCTTTTTTTAATTATTTCGAATTTCGGTCACTGTCACTTTGAAATTTTATGACCGTCAAAATTTAGCATTTTAAATAATTTCAATGTCCTGCTGCGTACATTATTGCGATAATTCATTAGAAAAGGGATTCAAGTGATTATTATTATTTAATAGTTATTATAGTTAAAATAGCCCTATTTCTCACTTCTACCTACGGCTATGAACGGTTTGACAAATAATCTAACCCTCAAAATTGTTTCTGACAATAATCGGAACTAGGGGAATTGAAAAGACAGAGCTCGATATATATGTCTTATTCCTTTATCCAATCATCAATGCATTTTTCTAAAACAGAAAAGGACAGAAGTATAGCTGTGTCCGGACTCTTTTCTAAGGTATATACAGGAACTCTAAGAAAAACAAGTGGCATACAATGATATTAATAACCGTAAATATCGATAAATCAACCCACTGTGACGCCACTGAAAATATTTTGAATTTAATCACATCAAAATAAGAAGCTCCATGATACAATTAACGAAACCACAAAGTTTCATTGAAATTGGTGGAACGACATTTGAGTATATAATGATTAAAAAAACGATTTTTCATGGAAATATTGATACCCTGTATCTCGAAAACAAAGCAATAAGTTAGGACACATGTTTATATAAACTTTATTCTCTGAACTATCACAAATAAGAATCACCCCCTGAAGTTTTTCGCACTTATTCACTAACAACGTATACAAAAGATCTAAATTACGTTGGACACATCTCTGTTTCAAAAAATGTTTGAAATAACAGGCTTTGAATTCGCTGTTGAAAATAGGTAACACGTCGCGCCACTAGTTGGCAACATTTGAACAATTCTCAGCGGTTTGTTTTGATAGATGGATGTGACCAACATCTCATTCAGATGTGACCATCAATGTCAATAAGCACAAACACAAAAAACAAATGTGAACCATAGCTTTCAAAACCTTCGATAGGTGGCGTACGCTTATTTTCTATCGCGAAGACCCCTTAGAAATATCCAGCAAAATTTGGGGAATATTGACAGTGATGAGAAAATTATGTCTCTATGGTTTTTGAAGAATGAAGAATGAGGCAAACATATTAAATTAGGAGCAAAATTGGCCAAGTTCAAGAATACTTTTGAATAGTCTCCAAAACAATATACTTTTCAACTGCAAACCACATCTTATATCAACTCTGAAGTCTAATTATTTCTACGACAGCTTGTCTGAAATTTTGCCACCTCCCAGATTTGCTTTTGGTTTAACGTTAACGAAAAAAACAGTAGGTTTTATGCCTAAAACAGGAGAAAAGTAGAACAGGGACAAAAACAGTAGATCTGCTGTTAAAACAGTAAGTCTGGCAACGCAACACACTGGTCTCCACCGCTACGTTCTACGTTCTGTGATTCCGGGGATTCCCAGGTGTTTCACGGCACCATAAATAAATTTTCAGTTTCCATCTCAGTGTCAGTGTTTAAGTGTTGAAGATGCTGGGTTTATAGATTCAACTAAACTAAGAATTAAACTAACAACTATGAACTTGAAAAGTTGAATACATGGCAACATCTATGAGGGTTTATACATTTTACATCTGTCAATTAAATTAAGAATTATAATGAATTACAAAGTTGGCCAACTTTCAACTTAACAACTATGAATTAGGAAATTCTGGAGACAGAACATGAAGATGGGATTTGTTATTGTTCAAGTGGAGTGTGGTGATATTCAATTGGAGTATTTTTCATGGATTCATGAATTGTGGAGACCAAAATTACTTTTTAACATCATATTGATCTACAATCAAAGGACATCTCACATCTAATTCATAATTATTATCAGATATGTATAAACACCCTCATGATAATTAATTGTTGATTGTTAATTGTTAATTCCAAATTGTTAGTTTAATTGAATCTATAGTAATCTTTATTACTGTGACAGTACTCAAAGTACGGTGATATATAGTGAAAAAAGGACAAAAGGTAAGTTGTGAATTGAAAATTTATTCGGCCTTCTGCCTTCTGCACGTCTATCTGTGGTAGGCAGTAATTTGTTGCTTGTTTAGAGAATGAAGAAAATAAATAAAATATCAACAGAGTAATAACTGAGTAAACTCCCAAGGATTTTCATAAACTTTGTGTGTAGTCAGAGAGTGAATGTAAGTATGGTAGGAAAATTTTTTGAAGCCATTAAAAATACAATTTAATTTTATACCTTTCGGACCGCGTTTTCAAATCCAGAACCGTATTAAGCAGGTGATATTCTTTAAGTTTAAAGAGTTCACCCGATTGTGGATTTATTTCCAATAAAATATTTCATAAATAGGCTATCCCCCCAGCTATGATGGCTAGTTAAGCCAGTGTTCCTTGTGATATTCTAGCAACATATAAACATGTGTCCTTTATTTGCTCCGTTATTGAGATACATGATGTTGAAGTTTGGAAGTATTAATTGTTTTTATTCATAACTCCCCTGTATAAGCTTTAGTTCAATCTAATAAACATATGAAACTAAGAAAAACCGGTGGCGTACAATGACATTCGCTATAAATATCGATAAATTTACCCACTGTGACGCCACTGAAGATATTATTCCGAATCTAATCCCACAAAAAGAAGCTGCATAAAAACCACAACGTTTTATTGAACTTGATGAAAAGACTATTGAGTAATGAATAAAGAAAACACTGTCTGTAGGTTAATCGAGGAGGTGGTACATCGAGTGGTACATTCATTATTCCAAATTTTTTAGGATTTCCTCTCCTCGTTTCTATAAAATGAAAATATGAATATTATTTCAATATACGTGTAGTTGATATAGACAGAACATGGTATTCACTACTAAAATCTGAACATAAAAATGGTAAATTCAAGATTCATTAATGAAAACATCCTGTAACTCATTTGATTGCCAATGTCACCAATTGTCAATGAAAACTGAAAAGCTTCAAGACATAATATACGACTTCGCTATTGAAATAATCTTTTCTCATGTTGAAAACGGGAGCAGAATCGGTCCCGAATCGTCCAAAGATAAGTGAAAATTTGATTTTTTTTCTATATACCTTTATTTCTCTTCTCCAAACTTTTTTCAATACAAATTGTCACTGACAATTTTTCATTTAGGATCTGATAGGAAAATTCTGTAAACGCAGTGACATTTTGGGGCAAATCATCTGATTTGTCCTTACTACACGTATATTGAAATAATATTCATATTTTTATTGTATAGAAACGAGGAGAGAAAACCCCAAAAAATTTGGAATAATGAATAAAGAAATCATTTTCCATGGTAAATATTAATACCCTGTATCTCGAAAACGAAACCCGTTAGGGTAAAAGTGCACTTATCATGCGATGGGGTTTTTTTCGAAAAATTTTTTTGGTACCTACTTACGTATTTTCGTCTGAAAAACACGAATTTCATAATGAAAATGTGAACAAACCACTATTCATCGAGATATTTCACTATAAAGTTACAAATTTCACCATCTTTTCCGCCTGTCTTCTGGATCACATTTAGAACAATTTGCCCTTCTTTTTCCATCATTGTAAGACACATTTTTTTTTCTATTATTGAGTCAACTAGAAATATGATTTTTTTGTGATTTATCCATGTTTAGTGAAAAGAAGGAAGAATATCATTTGCTGAAATAATGGCGTGTGTAATGTCATTCCAAAGCAATCTATCGACATTTGACATCTCGTATTTGAATTGCATATGGATTAAATGGCCGTCATCTGGTATGCTTGCTCACTAAATAGGAAAAACTCGCCATAAAAATCATATTTCCTGTTGAATTTTCTATCTTAAAATGTGTCAGTGAAGTACATCATGAGTATATAAAGTGTCCAATGACAAAATAATAAGAGCAACAAGTACCTGTAAATGCATCCAACACAAGGGGGAAAAGAAGGCAAAATTTCGAACTTTTTCTCGAAATATCTCGATAAATAGTGGTTTGTTCACATTTTCATTATGAAATTCGTGTTTTTCAGACGAAAATACGTAAGTACCAAAAAAAATTTTCGAAAAAAACCCCAACGCATGAAAGTGCACTTTTACCCAAGTTAGGACACATGTTCACAAGGAATCAACCCTTGAATTTTTTGGGTGTTACACCCTACTCACCCTAGGTATAGAGAAGGTGTTTGAAATACCAATAATTATTCATGAATACTCTACTCTTTTTTTTTTATTATGGAAATAACAACTAATAAAGTAAAATATGGTTGAGCATTTGCTAGTGATAATTTATTTGACGTAATACGAATGGTACTGTCGTGTTGCCGTGGTAAATTCTATTGAAAAACGCGCGTTTTTGAAAGTTGGATTTGAACACGCTGAGCCGTTTTTTATAAACATAATAAATAAGGTACCAATGAAAGAAATATATATTATTTATTCATGATTTGAATACTTGAAACGGATGTTTTTGTCTCTTGTTGAAACATAATAATTTATTATTAATAAATAAATCAATCAATCAATCTAAATATGGTTTTTAACCAAATGTTCGAAATGTTTCAAGATCGAAGAAATTTCACGCAAGAACTTAACTTCTCACATTTCACGAGACCAAATGATAGTTATTTATTATACAAGGGAAAAAAGTAGTAGATTTTAGCTCCAGGTTGTGTTGTCTCCCGACGCGTAGCGGAGGGAGACAAAAAACCGTGAGCTAAAATCTAATATTTTTCCCGTGTAAAATACACTATTTTTTTCTGTGACAGAAGGAAGGACGAATCAATATCGCGAAGATATTACATTATTTCGAAATCTGAAAATTATCGACGTGAAATGTCAAGTTTTTAACAGTAGGGACACCTGCGTTTTATAGACATCTTTATCATTCTTTTGAAGTAATCAAATATCTGATGTCACTTCTGTCAGTTCAATTCTGTGATTTGATTTTGAAAAATTGCGAATTCAGTAGTTGTTTAGTAATATACGAAACCGCGAAGTCGAATGGAAGATAAAAGGACTTGCAGTTCTTTCTCGGAGACGGTATTATTGACTCATTTTTCGGAACTATAGCACAACAAAAGCCATTAACAGAGTATATATATGTGATATATATCCGGGAAAAAAGTACTCACTTTTTTCCCACGGGAAAAAAGCAATTTATGAAAAGTGACATTTTATAACCTGCCAACAGAGATGAAATGCCAAACTTTTTTCCCGTCACAGAAAAATAGTTATTTATTATACAAGGGAAAAAAGTAGTAGATTTTAGCTCCAGGTTGTGTTGACAAAAAACCGTGAGCTAAAATCTAATATTTTTCCCGTGTATAATACACTATTTTTTTCTGTGACAGAAGAGAGGGCAAATCAATATTGAGAAGATATTACATTATTTTGAAATCTGAAAATTATGGACGTGAAATTTTAAGTTTTTAACAGTAGGTACACCTGCGTTGTAGGCATCTTTATCATTCTTTTGAAGTGATCCAATATCTGATGTCACTTCTACTTTTGATCCTAATGAAATAATCTACTATTTTCTACTAGCGTGCGGAAAAGTATTCTGTAAGCAATAAACTGTGTCCTGGTTCTAAAATCTACCACTTCTTTCCCTTGTATAATATACATACTGTTGAAGTAAAATCTTTGGAAATTACATTTTAGCGATTACATTAGGTCAGGGATATAGTTGTTAAGAAGCGATTCGAGCTGGGACAGGATTAATACGTCGAAATTTACTCACAGAATTTCGTCAGTGTCCTTAGTGGAGGGGATGTGGGGATTGATGTTTGATGAATTGATTTTCTATTATATTAATCAACCTCCTTGGAGGTTTCCAAAAATTGCCGTAGCGCACGGTATTTCACGTGCACGTGGCGGGGTATTGGTTAAAGTTTTCAACTAGCAATAATCGCACCTCGGATAAACCTCATCGGTTACGATACTGCCACTGCGCAAAGCTGAAGATATTTTATGCTAGCGGTGTATTTGTAACGTGATTTCGTCGTTCAGAGAAATGTGTCGTATGTGCTGCCCTCTCTATTAATTCGATTCAAGCTGGAGTAGGTGAGATCGTTACTAATTCTTGTTCAGTATCGTACTGGCCCACCTGGCAACTAAGAGAATGTGAATATATAGTATGCTATGATCAATGAATTTATGAATATGTTGCAACTCTGCAACTGTTCCTGGTTTCGAACACTCATAAACTACAAAATATCACATGAAGCCTAAATACGTATTTCGACAACTTATAGTTGCGGCATCCTCAGTAGAATTGAAGAGGAAAAGATTAGTTGACTCCATAATATCTTTCGAGATATTCTTCAGAAATTACTCTCGCTGGTAACTACCACGACAATTATCCATCGACAAATATGTTATCTCTATAGATAAAAATGATAAAATATAACAAAAATGCAATTGAACGTAATTGATTTGCTCTTACCTGCTATTATATCTGTCTTCGTTTCCTCTTCGAAAAGTTTACTCTTAGATTTCACCACCTTCTCTTTCCTTATTGTCTCCTTCTTATCCCCTTTCTTCACCGACTTAACACTTTTAGTTCTGAATATCGTTTCCAAATCAATTTTTTCTGCGTCGATATACCTGATGCTGTCCCCGAAGAGTTCGATTGACGTTTTGGGGGGAATGGAATAATCTCCAATAATCAATTTCCCCAAAGATTTGACAGTGTAATAATCGAAGTGTTCATAATAAAGGGAGTAATTACAACCCAGATCGGAGTAAAATATTTCTAAGGGTGATGTGCGATTCTCTAGATCTTCAACTAAAATGTTTGGTACTGTGTTGTCGTTTCTTTCGTTTGTAGCTTAAAGGACACGTGAATTATTTATGATTTATTATAAATTATAGTATTGTATCAAGTTAGTAACCTTACTTTGAATTATCTGTATGAAGGCAGTAAGAGCTGAATCGTAAGAAAGCCCATCTTCAATTGCTTTCTGTGGATTCTTCAAAATTTTAGAACTTCTGTATTGCTCGTAAATATCCATATTTCTATCATCGTAGTTAGCCTCAAGTTCGGCCAGCTCACCTATGCTTCTAGACACTTTAAGAGTATCAAAATATCCAGGAATTGTAATACCAGTGAGTGATTCTTCTAAGAGTATTGCTTGTTCTAAAGTTTCGGGGTAGTTCACCAATACCCAACCTTGAACATAAAAGTTATATATCTTTAAAAAACATTTTCTGCAAATAATTCATAATTTTTGGTATTGTTAGAATCATGCACCTACCTTTCAGATGATGTTTAGGTCTAAGGAACTCCAAGAACATATGTACAAGCAAATGATCTGTAAGAGAACTACCACGAGATAGTTCTTCTTCTGCTATTCTTCCTAGCTCTGCTTTTGGCGAAAGAGGGATTTCTTCGCATGGATACACCTTGGGCGTTTGTACTGTCTTATCTGCCAGAGCAAATTTGTCTTCCACATCTTCTACCGTATTGATATTTCTATCGGTTTTGGATTTTGATTTCGCTCCTTTCTTGAGTGACTTCTTTGATTGACTCCCTTTGGTCTTGTCTTTCTGAATTTGTTCATCTCCATCTTCTTCCGCAAGTTTACTTTCTTCTTTAAAAGCATTTATGCAAAAATTCACTGCATCCTGCATTTCGAAAACACGGATATCTTTATGATCCAACATTTTCTGGAGTAGAGGCAAGCAGGTAGTGTCTGTCAGTCCATTTACACAAACAGAAATATTTACTTTTGGCAAATTTGGAGGCGGAGGCGGTTCCGGCAAAGGATATTTAATTTTCAGCAAATTGTTTACTATATGTCCTAAAATATTCATTCCATAATTCATATCGCATATGTAGTTGTCATCTATCTCGACATTTTCGAGTTCCCAAGGCCATTCGAAGTTTATATAGCTTTCGAAATCTCCTTTGTCCAACTTATCTTGCCTTTCTATTTCATTATGAACTATTGTTTCCAAATCTTCTGGGATTTCGTCAGGTGGTTTGAGTATAATTTCTATCGGGGATACCGCATCTTCGAAATTTTCATTTGTTAAAAAACATTTCTTCCAGTTATCTATCACTCTTCTCGACGGGCTTTCCCCGAAAAAATTTCTATATTCAGATTCTTTGAAAGCTATGGTACAAATATTCCTGATTATCTCTGAACACATTTTATAGCATCTCTCTGATTTCAAGCGTAATTTTTCTTCGTAGATTTTCCTGTGCAATTTTAGTGTTTTCTCTTTATTCAGGTAATACTGGAATTCTTTATCGTTCAATTCCTTGTCTTCTTCAAGAAATTGTTCGACAAATTGTGCTTCCTTTTCTTTCAAAATAGCATCAGATATAGCTAGCTTATTTTGTATCATAACATCCTTCTGAAATTTAACTTCGCCCAGCTTCCTCAGCATTTGTTTTTCATACAAAGACTGTTTGAGCATCTTTTCGGTTATATCTTTATCACACTCGTCATTTTCTTCATCGCGTATCTTTTGCCAAAACGCATTCAGCACTTCTTTGTGCAGCTGCTTCTGGAATATGGCATTTTCAGCCTTCTTCTTGACCTGTTCTTTGTATTTCTTGAGTATTGTTTTCGCTTCTTTGGGATCTGCTTGGAACTGTTTCAGCATGTTTGCTTTCTTTTGTTCCTCAATCAACTTTTCGTAGGACAAGTCAATTGATTTCACCGATTCGTTAATGAGTTCTTCGTTAGCTTCCTCCGTTCTGTGAAAATCTGGCGAGGCAGGAGAGTAGTAACTAAATGAGGAACTTGACAACCGTTTGTCTCGCGTTCTCACCATGCCCATATACTCCTCTCTAGCTGATTTGCATTTATTGACCAACATTTCTAGGCGATCTTGGTGCCAATGAATTACATCGTAAGATTCAATCAAAGGTGATTTATATTTACCCTCGACCTGAGGGGGTCGTACCGTCTCCTCGGCCTCACTTTTCACTGCGAATCTTGTGTTTTGGGGGTGCAATTTTTCATTCAGCCGTTGTTGCGTTATGAATGTCAGATTATCTTTCTCGTGAAGTTCTAAAAATAGTTTATAGAATATATTGATGGAACCTAAGCCGGTGTAATCAACGATTTCATCTACCTCGTCGGTATCGAGGGATATTCCGAGAGTTTTGAGCCATATGGCTATGAATTTGAAATTTTGCATGCAGTTCGCTCGCACCTCTGTTTTATGTATCATTCCAAGCTGTTCTTCGTTGATGACCTCGTAAGATTTCAATATTCGCGAGAGTAGATGCCCGTCTCTTGTATTACGACAAAATGTTTCAGCATTCCAATTCATTATTATTCCAAGTCTTGATTGAATCCATTGGTTTATTATATTGGTCATGGTTCTTCGGACCTTGAACCCTTGCTCTTAGCCTCACAGCTGGATAGAAGTTTATATTATTATATGTTGACGATATGAACTTCGAGACATCGTTTCTTATTGGGTTTTTGAGAATAAATTCAGCTGACACTTGACATATGTACACGACTGATGAAAAGCACAGTTCATGAGTTCACCATACCTCTTGCCTACTAACTAGCTTTTCAGCAGTGAAAAAAACTAGTTATGGCCCAGGAGCCAGCAACCGGTTTGGTTACAGCTTAGACCATCAGGATGAAACTATTACAGTTGGTTCCTCAAAACGTGGTAACAAGGGAAGGCATAGTCCATCAACCCTCCATTGGCCAGTTCAACACCCATGGAATCTTTAACGGTAAAATTAGTTATTTATTATACGAGGGAAAAAAGTTGTACATTTTAGCTCCAGGTTGTGTTGTCCAAAAACCGTGAGCTAAAATCTAATATTTTTCTCTTGTATAATACACTATTTTTTACTGTGACAGAAGAAAGGACGAATCATTATTGAGAAGATATTACATTATTTTGAAATCTGAAAAGTATCGGAGTGAAATTTAAGTTTTTAACAGTAGGGACACCTGCGTTGTTGGCATCTTTATCATTCGTTTGAAGTAATCAAATAGCTGATGTCACTTCTGTCAGTGTAATTCTGTGATTTGATTTCAGAAAATTGCGAATTTAGTGGTTGTTTAGTTATATACGTATCCGCGAAGTCGAATGGAAGATAAAAGGACTTGGAGTTCTTTCTCGGAGACGGTATTATTGACTCATTTTTCGGAACCATAGCACAACAAAAGCCACCAACAGTGTATATATGTGATATATATCCGGGGAAGAAAGTACTCACTTTTTTCCCACGGGAAATTGATGATAGTCGCTGTAGTCGCTCCCACCGCGATGATTATTTTTTTTCATCCTGTCTGTAGGGACTTTAGTACTTCAAACCCCCCTCCCCCTCCCTGGTCACGCGAACTTATGTTAATTTATTTCTACGGGTTACATAGTCAACCCACTTCCAAGGCAATGTGCAGCAAGGCTTCACAAATCCTTGAGATGAGATTCCCCGAGAGAGCCTTGATGCTCTTCTCGGTAGGCATGGGGGGAGCGGGCTCGTTCCCTGTCCTGTCTTCCCTCTGCACATGCCCAACCACGGGTCAATGGGACGCTAAACGTGGTGGAACCATCCGACGCCTTCTCGCTGCCGACAGGAAGTTCGCTCGATGCGTGTCCTTGTCTGACTCTGCTATCGGCCTTCTCTATCGTGGAGGGGCGCGGTGGGAGGAATGCAAAACCTTGTGAATGCCTTACCTTAAGGTGAAGTAAATTGACAATGTAATCTATAGGATCCAATAACTAATGGATGATCAATAAATTTAATGAGGTGATACTCATACTAGTCAGACAAATCGTTTATCGATAAGTCGTTAATGAACAGGATCAAGGTGACATCTCGTAGTCAAAGATAATATTATGAGAGATTCCCCACAGCAGAGATCTACAAGTCCAATGCTAAGTGTGAGAGAAATCTTGATAACTAGTAATGGCGCGTTCACATGCTGGCTTTTCGCCTTTTGACTTACAGCGTAGCCTCATCTCATTGGCCGATTCGTCAGGAAGCGCTTATCGAGGTCATAAGCTAGAAAGTCGGTTTCAGTCCGACTTTTGCGGAAAAAAGTCCAGATTGTTTGACAGGACCACACAAATATTGACAAAATGAATACATATTGGTGCTATATCATCATATTATGCAGTGTGGGAAACAGTACTGGAAAAACACTCCTAAAAATGTGATGAATGTGGTTTCTGGACGACGTACATCTGAAATTTAATGTGGCAGTCACTGTCACTTTTCCAACTTTCTCATGTGAACAGTGCGCCCGTTTTATTCAAGCTTTCTGCTGTAGGCATAAGCTGGCATGTGAACTCGCCATAAGATAATATTATGTCATTGAACTCAATGTATCAATTATTGTATCAATGTAAGTGATTAATCGAATAAAATACTGTGAAGGCAGTTACTGGCGTTGGGCCGATAGTGATTCGCTATTTCAATAAAGATATTTTTCACGATCGGAAATCTTTAAAATTGCTTCCGCACGGATTATTTGTTGCGCACCGCATCTTTGCGTTCTGTCTCTAGATGCTTCATTTCAGGTCAGATTGAATTGCGAATTTAATGGTTGTTTAAAGTTCTTTCTCGGAGACGGTATTATTGACTCATTTTTCAGTGTATATATATATGTGATATATCCGAGAAAAAAGTACTCACTTTTTTCCCACGGGAAAAAAGTAATTTATGAAAAGTGACGTTTTATAACCTGCCAACAGAGATGAAATGCCAAACTTTTTTCCCGTCACTGAAAAAAATCCAATACGTTGGTAAAAATCCAATAATATATAGAGTTAACTGAAATAATGTTGGTACTTCATATAAAGAAAATTCTATCACACTTCCTTATGGAGTTATTAATCTTGAAAGTTACAATAAAAATATCATATTTATTATTGAAAAGGAATATTCTCAGATATAATTATGAACATAAAAAAATGGACACATATAAATATATATAATATAAAGAAATACATTGAGAATTCACATTCTCTATGTGATGAAAATATCAATTCTATCTCGGTTTATTCAACAGAAAACAACTACTTTCCTGGCTATATGCCAGTAACATTTGAATTACATCTATTGAACACATAATAAGAATTTGAATACAAAATTTTCTGAAGTAGAGACTTTGCATTCTCCTTCATATAAAGATATGCACATAATATCATTCTGAATATTCAACAGGAAACACATATACTTTCCTGGCTATTTGCCACGTCGAACATTGAAATTATATCTGTTGAACATCCAAAAAGAGAGTATGAAAAATGAAAATCCTCTGAAATTGAGAATTGACATCATTTTAATTATATCTGAGAATATTCCTTTTCAATACTTCCACCCAATCAAGGGGTTCAAACTTGACCGATGAAAACTTGTCATTTTCATAGACCTCAATCCTGTATGATGAATATCAATTTGTAATACATCCAAAAACAAAAACAAAATATATCTGAAACACCTCAATATAATATTTCTTAAATGCAGACTAATATTTTTGAATTCATACTTTTCTCTGTCACTTCAGTGAATTAGTTGTCTTATTTTGACTTTTTCTTTGAAGACAGAATATTTTTGATAAACTTTTTTGCTTCCATTCATGTTCAGACTTCAGACATCTGTAAAACAGTTGAACATAATATGATTGCCTACTTACATAATATACACCTGCTAAACTTTGTTATTATTTGATATTAATTTTCATGTTTGATTGTTATCAGTTTTTTGTAAAATAATTTTCAAACAATTCCAGTAAGAACTACATGATCTCTCAAAGTAATAAGTATTTTAATATTTGATAAAAACTAATCATTACAGCAAAGCTACACCAAAAGACACATTATTTTAATAATCAATAAATTATAAATTAATTAGAATATCAAAGTTCTTAGCTAGCCACAAAATAGTTACCCCTTTGAATGACAAAAATGCCTTAGTTATACACTGGCTTCTACAAATATTATTTAACTCATGATGATATTTTGTGATAAATATAATATGGATCCCATACAGGGTACACACAAATCAATTTTTCATTTTACATAAAAACTTAGACACAGGATTAAAACTTACATAATCATCTTGACAGCGTTCTAGAATCAATAAAAAAAAACAGTTATCCATATTTCTACAATCTGGCCCTTGATCATGTCAAAAAAGTAATTGAAGTTGAATATTTACAGAATGAAGTACAGTTGTATTCAATGAAAAAGCATACCAGCATTAAAATTAGAGGTTAACATCATCCTGGTTCTAGTTGTGTGAAACTGGCTCAGCCAATGCTTTGTATGTTTGACAACCCATGACAGCTTGTTTTATGAAAATAGGATGATGTCAATTTCTCTCTCTAATACATGTATGCTTTTTTTTGTAATTCAATTGTACCACTTCAAAAAAGAGAGGTTCCTGTCTAGATAACCAGTAAATTGTATTATTCAGCCCTATGTATTGTGAACTAATAAATATGGAATTGATGATAAACTAACCATAACCTATATTCAGTTTGCACCACCAACACTAAACCAACTAGGGAAAAAATGAGGCAATCCTTGAATAACAAAATGAGCTACATAATATACAGGGTGTTCACCCACATACATATATCTGAAAAGAGGTGGTAGATAATGTGATTTGGAACATATTCAATCATAGCTACTATTTTACAAAGCTTTCCACTTTTCCAGCAATCAACACTTTTAAATTCTAAGGAGCAAAAGCATTCTTCTATTACATTTAGATCTCATTAACTATTCAATATTGATGAAATATGTATTCAATTCTTTAGGAAAGAAAGATACAATCAGATAAAATGTTTAACAAAATGATTGTAAAATATGTTTGAGATGTTCTAATCTATCACTCCCTTTCTGATACTTGTCAGTGAACCAAACACCCTGTATACTAGTGATTACTTCAGTGTTACACATTGATGTCATTTGATGTATCTAGGGTCACTTGATGAAAATCCATCCATCCTCAATTTTCATCAATAAGATATGACAAATATGTTAATTGATCATTCTAGAACACGTGATTTTGCAAGGTCTCTTGAGGGGCACACAAACTATCTGTTAGGTTACCTTTGATGAGCATTGCTCAGGCCGTCCCGCTGCCACATTCACAATATAATAACAGTTTCACCAAACAATATAATGAAATTCTTTCTGGTTCCAACTCGGATTCCAAGGAAAACGATCCCACTAATTCTGGTTTTCTATGACAGATCTTGACAAAATACAATGTTTGCCCCTCAGCAACCTTTCAAATGACGTAATTCTGGAATGATTAATTCTCATCAAGGGACCCTAGATGTATCTAGAGTCCAGTATAATCTTTGAACCCAAGAAAATACCTAATTGATGGTGGTAACTAATATCACAAAATCCAATTAGAAATATGGTGTTATTATGTGATAGTGACATTATTCTGCAACTTTAAGATTCTGAATACAGTCTGATACTACCTCTAATTCAGTACTATCAACAGAAATTTCTGTAGCTATACTTTCCAATGATTTTGCCTTCTTCATTTGCCTGAATTCTTCAATTGCACAGTCTAACTCATCCACAACATTCCTCACTACAACAGCTGCTTCATTATCATTGTTCTCTGACCTAGTTCTAGGACGTTCTCTTGGATGATCATATGGCTTATAGCGCACATGACTCTTTACAATGGGTTTCACATGGAATCCTATTGCCACCTTACTCACATACTTAGCATTTATAGTAAGAACTTTCAGGAATTTATTATCTTGTATATCACTGACATATTCATCTTTTGAGGCAGCAGGATTATCCAACATTCCCAGTTCATTCAAGGCACTGTCTAAATCACTCAAAAGTGTAGGAACCTGAAATTTTCATGAACCATGAGACATGAGACTGGGCCCTTTTCAATAAGTTGCATTATGCATATCATCAATTATTAATCAGCAGAAGATTTGCACAAATCATAAGTAATAAAAGGAACAAGAATGTTTCAAATAGGATGATTTTTGACATAATTTGGAATATACTATTATGAATGTTGGATGTATTACCTTGATATCTTCACACTGCATTATGAATATAGTGAGTATTTTTGTATTTGCACAAAATTCAATTTTGATTTTTTCAACATTCGGTTTGAATTGTTTGCAGCAAGTACATACTACATAGTGTACAAAAAGAAGTAAACAATACAATATTATACTGAATATTCAATAAAAATAAACATCATCATACAAAACAAGAAATTTACATTGACATTATTGACAACGTCAAATAGTCAAATGCCAGATGTCTGATATGGAAGTTGCGTTCTGTTTCATTTATCAGATATCAGATTTACATCCAGATTACATCACCGACGCCAGAATCACTATGGTGTTGATGTGTCGTCGGTGCGTGCAGTGTAGAATGTAGATTTGTTTTTATTTACTGGTGTACCTCCACTAAAAATCAGCTGATTTTAAGTGTAGTGTGAATTACACGACACCGAAAAGCAAACGAAAGAACCAGAGACTGTGGTGCTATCTTGTCACTGTGTCCTGTGTCATCACCACGAGTCATCAGTGTCATCAATGTCATCAGCCCATCAGTGACATCGTCATCACGTCATCAAGTCATTAATGTCATCATATTTAGAAAAAAGAAATCTTGGAAATTGGCTGCTGTTCCCGGTGTTAGCACCGATTTAGCAATCTTTGGAATAACAGTTAATTCACATTCTCTACATTATTATATAATACCCCAAGGTAAGGTATACTTTGTTGGTACATTAGAGTTGAAACGCTTGATGCATTTAGGAATCTTACAAACCAATGTGTTGTATGGTATTCTCTTCAGTTTATTACATAACTTGAACTCATTTTTAGATGCTGTCCTCACAATTACTTAATGGAATCAAAAACTCTATCAAAACAGGAGTATCCAATCGCAACATTGGGATCCTTGCCCCATGTTTACAGAAAGCCACAGATCCCATTCAACAATTATTTGTGGACAAAATTCGAGAATACAAGCAGAAAAGTAGTAGGTGAGTCTTGTCAGTGACCAGTCTGTAGGTGCCAATTCTAGTAATTGGTTATGCAATCCTTTACATAAATTGTGTTTACCTATGTATTCATATTTATTATAAATTCAATTATCAACATTCATTGTAAATTTCAACAATGGGTCAGTTTCTTTCACATGTCTACTGTTATTAATTATTATATCATAGATTGTTGTATCTACCTGAACATCTTACAAAACCTGCTGGGGCAATTTTATTAAATTTTATAATATTTGTATTGAAGAAAATTTCGTGGACAAGTCTATCTACATGTTGAAATGAATAATGAAATATTGTTATATCTATGAGTGATTCAATTTTTTCAGTGGAAAGAATTTAGTAGAACCAACTCCAGAACTTGAGAAGGAACTGAAAACTGAATTGGAGAAAGTTGCTAGGCAATATGGTGGTGGATCAGGAGTTGATATGACCAAATTTCCATCATTCAAATTCCAGGACCCTGTTATTGATCCAATTAATTTGGAAAAGTGAATGAAATATTCCTTATTTAATATAATAAACAGTAGGCAATAGAATGTTGGTTTTTTAAAGAGATTGGTTAATTTACATTATTTGAATTTGCCAGGTACAGTACCCTGTTCAATGAGAAAAAGTCTAATTACTGATGGACTTACTATTGTTAGAATGAGGGAAAACTGTTACACAGAGTGTTTTCATTCTAAGTGGTCATAGAATAACAATTGAATGGGGAACTGAAGTAGTGGAAAAACAAATTACAATAAATGTCAGTTATCAGTTTAATGTTGGTGAGAAGGTGAGAATTCAACACAGACCACCCGCCTGGGTGGTCTGTGGAATTGAACATCCCCCATGCCATGTCTACTGTGGAAGAGAGAAATATATAAGGACTTGAGGCATTAGCCATTTTTCCTCGCCACACAAACCACTCAATAGTCAATTTTCCTCATTCCTCAAACTGCTCAAAGTCTATCCCAAACATATATTTACTATTTCTATATGGCGCATCGCCTATACGTTATCTTAACAAAAATGAGATGTAATTTCATGCAATGGAAACAGCCATTTAACCATGGTTTAACATGTTTCGTATTATTTTTTCCCTACGTCTGCATCAACGCTAATGGTCGATTTCGTTACCGTTGGTTATATAGTTCAGTCACAGTACTGTGGTTCAGTGGTTGGTCCCGCTTTGAGGATCTGGCTTTGAGTAATAAGACGTGACAGCAATGTCCAAAACTAAACTCTTTAGATCATTAAAGAAGAAGGCAGCATGCAGCAATGATCTGTCGGTACCTCCGTGACTTAACGTCATCAAGGGACCCTATAAAGTGTATGCAGTGTGAGAGTTTACGGACAGTCCTATCTTGGTCCCAAGGATTATCAACTGATATTCGTCACATCTCAAAAATCCGTGAAGTGCCAAAAGTCATGGTTATTTGAATTCTTCTATCAAGAAGCAAATGTGAATGTTTGGTGACAAATGAAGTGAACTGAAATTGAAACTTCTAGTTCTGAATCTTCTGAAGTTTTCATGATTGTTTTCATGGTCTCAAATTTTGTCTTGTTCTAGTCTAGTCTTCTAGTTGTTTTTACTTTAAACTTTGAAGTGGCATGAATAAAATGCACAACGAGTATGTAACAAACTCTACTTTTCAGCAAATGTTCAACTGTTATATATAGATACCCACAGAGAATAAAAAATATCAGTTGGCATCTCAATTAAGCAAAATGAGTGATGAATTACAAAACTATCAACTGCAGCTCCAACAAGTGGAAGCTGCTTTACTCAGTGATCCAGACAATCAGGAATTACAAAAACTGAAAATCGATTTGAATGAAGTAATAGATTTGACTTTAGACCTCAAAAACAAAGCTGAAGAAGCAGCTAATCAACCAGAATATACAGAGCCAGTTGGAGTTGCTGAGGACGATGAAATCACGAAGTCGCTGCTTGCTGTTGAAGAATTTGTTGCACGAAATAGGGCGAAGAAAATGTGGCGAGTGGGAGATATTTGTATGGCAAAATGGAGTGAAAGTGGACAATATGTTGAAGCTCGGATCGATGTCATCAATCCTGATGGTCAGGTAAATGTTACATATGAAGCTTATAAGAATCGAGGTGTTACTACTCTATCAGAACTTCGTGAATTCACAGGTCAGAAACGAGTACTCTCTGAATCTGAGAAAATGAAGAAAGCAAAGATGCATAACAAAGAATATTTGAAAAAGAAAAAACTCAAGAAACAACAGAGATTCAAAGAGTTGGAAGAGGAGAGGGAGTGTGAAAAGAAGAAGTGGCTTGCCTTTGCCAATAAAGCTGTCAAAAACAAGAAAACAGGCCTAAAGTCAAAAAGCATATTTGCCTCTCCTGATTCAGTTAATGGTCGTGTAGGAATTGGAACCTGTGGGATAAGTGGTAAACCTATGACTGAATTCACTACTGCTGAGAAGTGGAGAAAAGGTGTTTGAGACTATGAACATTATAAAATTTAGGTTATACTCTCAAGAATTATCATTTCTGAACAATAAAAGGAAGCTTTTGTAAATTATCATATTTTTAATCATGAAATTTGCATAATTCAATATATTCTTTTCTTGAAATATGTTATTTTTGATCAGCCTCATATGAAAATTAAAGGTTGAAAATGACATAAGTGACATGCTATTCAATCAGGATATGGTGGATATGTCACAAAAAGTGCCCTCACATGGTCCCCACTTCTTCCTCACTATAGAATCTTTGCTTCTCGGTCTTTGCTTTAGTTTAGAGCTTAGCTATAGTTTACTAATACAGTTGATAGTACACTGATGGCTGCCTTTGGAAGATCTGTTATCGATCCAAACACCTTGATCCCAACAAATTTGAATTTACCGCCAAATTACATATCACAATACATTTTATAGCGGTGTTGCCGATAACACAATGTTTTCGTCAAGTTTACAGATACGATATTTAATATAAGACTATTCAAAAACGGCCATTTTAATTCGTCGTGATACAGGGTGGTCCACAAGATTTTGTCCAACCGATATCTGGAAAACTTATCAAACTATCTATAAACTTTAAAACTTTGAATGCCACTTTCATTCCAGTAAATATCAATTTTTGTAATACCATAGTAATTTAGCAAATGCCATAACCAACAATAATAATATAATGTTTATTCAGAATGTTGATAAAATATAAATTAGAAAAGTATAGGTACCTATACATATTGGTATATTGTGTAAACAAAGAAAACCTTGGGAAGTAAAACTTGCAAAAAATATTAGTTATTTATTATACAAGGGAAAAAGTAGTAGATTTTAGCTGGAGGTTGTGAGCTGGCTGACATGATGTTCATGTATAATTTCCTTTAGTATTTTGGTAACAACAATGAATTAACATAGTGAAATCAGTAAAATATAAGTTGACATTATACACACACTAAAAGATGTTGAAAACTTTTGTAAAATTCAATAATGATCACATTTTCAACCTCGTTGGACGTAGTTCTTCAAAGGTTAAATTGCAAATGGTCATTGCAAGGCCATTTGCCATGCACCGTATTTGTTCCAATCAAATTGTAGTTGATAGTGAATCAGAAGTTGGGATAGGGAAATGTGAGCCGTTTTGACTAAAAATAAATAGTTCCAACGCGAAAAAATCCTAAAGTCGAAAAATCTCGATTTTGAACACTTTATATATATCTCTGTAATCATTCCCGCTAGACCCCAATTTTAAAAAACGAAGTTAATGTCACTTCAGGTTCAACCGGATTTTCATCGAAAAGGACTCAATCGATTAAACCTGTATACAAATTTTCCGAGGGGGAAACAACTCTTTAAATAGGTGTACTGTACACCCTGAAATTTTTAGTACGTATACTTAAATACAATTTTCAATAGATTATATATAAGCACAGATACGACCTGTTATTCTAGAATACTGTTTTCACATATGGGGTTCAGCTCTAGCACTCAAATCATACTATCTGATGCTCTTAGATTCCATCCACAGAGAAGAGCCATTCGCCTGGTAGGTGATGCCACACTCACTAACACTTTGACATCATTGAACGACGTAGAAAGGTTGGCGACTTTTCACTTTTTTATAGATACTTTCACGGGAAATGTTCTTCAGAAATCTCTGCTATCGATTCCACGTCAAGCCAGACGAACTCGACAAAAGCGCATCCTTTGGTTGTCAACCTCGAAATATGTCGAACAGCACTATATCAAAACTCGTTTCTCTATAGAACAGGAAAGCTCTGGAATTCATTGCCTAAAAGGAAGTATATTTCCAAGAACTTATATAATCCCCAAAAGTTGAAAAAAAATTTCAACACCTACCTCCTCTCCTCATCCTTCCTAGGTACGCGCACGATATGTTCTCCGAACCTTATAGTGATTCCCTTTGGTGCGCAGCAAGCGATAAAAAAAGTGGCATAAAAGCATCGATTGTGCTCCAGGTACTAGTATTGAGTACCTATTCAAAATATGCCTTAAATCTCGCTTTAAGTACATGATATTATATGGTGTACAAATTTTGGGCAGTTGCTTCCCCTTCGAAATTTTCTGATCAGTGTCATTTTTAGAACTTCAAATACGTCTAATGTGCGGTTTAGACGGAACAGCCTGTATAAAATTAATGATGTATTCAAAACAAAACGTCATGAGCGAAATTGAAGCAGCGAGGTGGAGTATTGACAAAACTGACAACATTGTAATGAAATGGTAGTGCGAGTACGCAGTGCGTACAGCGCGTGCTACAGTGTTGTAAGCTCGAATATTTCATGGCTAGTTCTAGCTAGGGTCCCTTGATGGAAATTGACGTAAAAGTCACCTTAACAGGGTACGGACAGATCATAGCTGCATTCTTTTTTAATGATCTAGAGACTTTAGTTTTGTCTACTGGCATCCCTGACATTGCTGTCACGTCATAATCATGGGCGCTACAAAAATCATTCAAAATTTTAATAAAAGGTATGTACAGGGTATTTACCAGTATTTACTTGTTGAAGAAGATCAGATGGCGAACGAGTTTTGTAATTATAATCCGATTTTATTCAAAACTAGAAGGTATCTGTGGTTTTCCGGGGTTGGAGATGATGATTGTTTCGTCAAACTTGGAAAATTCAAGATGGCGGATCCAATATAGAGCGAAATAAATTCCTAATTATGATCTGCTTCTATTTAAGATTAGTATCTGGTGAAATCTGGTGGTTTTCGGGGTAGGAGGTAATGATTGTTTCTTGTTTCGTCAAAATTCGAAAATTCAAGAAGACGGATCCAATATGGCGAAATACATTAGTATATATAATTATTACTCTACCACAAATACAAAATATGTAGGATGCAAGAGTGAAAATGACGTGTCTGTAAGTTATACTGCGTATACTTCTCTGTTACTTTCATCAATAAATTATTCGAAAATGACTTTTTATTCAGGGGAGATGGAAAAATCATGTGTATAACATTGGGGTTAAGTATATTGTATCATTTATTTTCCTGCACATTGTACGTATTACTTTTCATCAGCCTTGAGCCTAATTTTCGTCCCAGATGAAGTATTATACATAGTGTCATATTAGTCACTCCATAAATTATTCTCAGAATTGTATTTCCGAAAATATATTTAGCACACATGACATGAATACAGTATTTCAGATACCCACATCGAGGTTTCCACCATTTCTCAATCATAAGGCTCAGCTCATTCAGCTCATAGATAAACTTCTGCTCAGCTTGAAGTCAGAATTCATTAAGTCAATCAGTCAACCCTGATTTACAGTCTAGGAACAGTCTCTTTTGCTGAAATATATTAAGCTTTCAGTACAATTTATATGATTCGTACCTCGCAAAGATTATGCTGGAGTAGTCGACTCTAAAACTAGAGGATTGTTTATCTATATCTTGGTATAGTCATTGGGTATTGAATCAGGAATTCCATATGGAAATTACGTATGATACGCCAGTGACCTCAATATAACCTAAAAAACAACGAATATCAAAAATCTAGTGTTTATCCCCAGAATTGAATAAGGATGGAACTATATAACTGTTTCACAAACACTTTAGAGTGAGAGGAGACGAGGATCTGTCCGTACCCTGTTAAGATGACTTTAATGTCAATTTCCATCAAGGGACCCTAGTTCTAGCTATTTTGTGAAACGTCCACATAATCAAAAATGTCATCTTGTCGTCAGCCTTTTTTTTCTAGCTATTGATTAAATCTGTCCTACGAACAAAAGAGACAAAGAATGATAATATCTGTAATATGCCCCTAATAATTATTCTTGGAAAGGAAAAAGTGGAAAAAGTCAATCAATTCTTGTCAAGGAGAAATATTTTCCACCCAAATCCTTGATTGTAATATGATCAGTCGCTCAGTTCAGATTTTCTGCCAAAAAAGTGGATTTTTATTTCTCGGTACCCACCCAGCAATGACCTGCGATATTGCATTCTGTGTCGCATAGACGTCGTCGCTCATGTTATTTTGGCCCACTCAAGTTTCATCCATGCCACATCGCTGAGATATAAGTTAGTTCTCTGCGATAAAACGGCGATATATTTTTTGCAATATAATTGCCATAAGTTATTTGTAATGGGATAGCGATTTGTTTTGCGATAAAACTACGATGTGAGGCGAGATGACATCGCAGTAAAACGAAAAAAAAAAGTTTCCTCAAACATATCCACTGACTTCTGATGATATATTGATGGATGGTGGGTCTTTCGGGTCTCCTATCCATTCCATCTTCAATCGTCTTTTCAGCGGCGCTATCCTTGGTAGCTAAGAATCTATATCAAAATGGGATCAGTTACTCGTATTTGTATAAAATATTATGTAGTGTGTGTCGGCGAAATGCAAGCAAACCATGCATAATTTGACAGCAACGTAACGAATTTTTGCGAGTTTAGCTTCACTTTCTTGAGTAACGTATATTCATGTATTGTTTTTCACCGAACAAGAATCTCAATAACAAATTTATGAAAAAATGTTGTGTCGCAGATGTGTTTGTTTCTGTACATCGCAGTGATGGAACACTCGTAATATCGCAGTGTTGCCGCATCGCGACATCTCAGTGATATCATGTGTTGGCTCCCAATGGCTGGGGCAATGGCCAATGATTTGATGAAAATTGGTTGAAAAAATAGTTGGTAGGTAATTTCATTTCATCTCCCTGGACTAACATTTTTCAATAAAATGGCAACAAAAATGAAAAATTATTCGTCTGCATGGGCGCGGACTTTCTTTAGATATTTCCATGTAAATCATATGATACATGGTGTAAGTATATTATATGTGTATATATATATACATAATATCTATGGATATTTGATATTTCTAACTACTAGGCAACACGTGGCAACGCCGTACGTGTAGTAGTCACGTTGTAGCAGTCATTGTTGGGTATTCTGTGGTCACGCTTATTTATAAATACGGATTACATTATTGGGAGACCACATTGCCGAATCAAAATCTTGTTTATTTGGCGAATCGAACATTGAATTGAATAGTCTCGAGTTCGAACAGTCTAGTGATAAGACAGTGCTGCGCAT